TAAGTGCAAGTAGAAGTAGCAAGACATGCCCAAAATCTTGTATCATGTTAAACAATTACAGACTTTCGTTTTACACTCTCTTGGCAGGACGGTAGTACCTCCCTGGGCGGTTGCTGTCTACCAACCTACTACCTAGGAAAGTCCTTCATGTGTACATTTAACCAAAATACTGTACTGGTCTTTTTAAAGTTAATAACAGATGTGAGAGAATAGCTTGTATGATCCCCAAAGCGTGATTTCACGAGTGGGTTGTCATGGGCTTAAGTGTGAGCAAAATTACTTGAAGTATAGATCTTGTGCACTGCAGGGGGCCTACTGACCCATACTAGCTTATTGTATTTCAGTAAAATGTACTCTGGAGGCATAGATGAAGTAAACATCCTCTTGTTTTGTTTGGTAGTTTTAGTTAATTTAATAATGGATGATTCCAGGCATCATCATCTCAGTGTGTCATGGTCCTGGTACAAAAGTTCAGCTTTTTTTTCATGCTATGAGGTGTGAATGTGAGTTACAATGGTATTTGCAGGCATTGTTGGTGTTGTCTGTACAGAGATTATGTCTGTTCGTGTAAACAGACTGGTAGACTCCTAGCTGTGCCATGTGGAATTTTGTACACCCCTTTATTTTTGGGTTTGATGTATGGAGTCAGGGTCTTTGTAAATCCTGTATAGTTTTGTGGAAGTTATAGCAATGTCAGTGCTGTATTACTGAAAGATGGAGGACAGTGTGACAATACCTGCGAGTAATGTGTATGTTCGTGTTTAGTCTTTCTGTCCCCTGTTATTACATGGTATATCTTCGACTTTTTGCTTGCCGAGTAGAATTATATGTGGAGGAAATTTGAGGCTAGTAAAGGTGCTCTTCATGTAATTAATCTCCTCTTCTAAGAATTCTTCAGTGCAAACTCTGACTGCCCACAGGAAGAACCCAATCGATATTTTACTTTTGGTTTTGAAATTATAGTGGGATAAGAAAGGATGATGAGGTAGTCCTTGTTGGTAGATTTATGGTAAACTGCTTGTTTTAGGATCCCATTTTGTCTTAATAAGTCTGAAGTTTGTATAGAAAGAGGCTTGGTAATTAGTAATACATATTTTAAGAAAAAGAGGATAAGTATACAAGATATGATATTGGGCATAATGAAAATAATTTGTTGGAAATGGCAGAAGGAAAATGGCATAAGAGAGTAAGAGAGGAGGAAGTGTGGGTGAGATATAAGCAACTATTGGGAGAAAGGTGGGCTAATAGGAGTATAGGTAGTGTGGGGGTTGAAGAGGGGTGTGATAGTTTTAAAATGCAGTGTTAGAATTTTGGGGCAGAAGGCTGTGGATATAGGAGGGTGGGTGTGGGAGGCAAGAGGAGTGATTGGTGGAATGATAAGGCAAAATAGGATGACTTGGAGGGTATATAAATCTGTAGTGGAGGGAAGGTGGGGTAGGGGTTGTCCTAAGAAAGGATGGAGGGAGGGGGTAAAGGAGGTTTTGAGTGCATTGGGCTTGGACATTCAGCAGGCATGTGTGAGCATGTTAAATAGGAGTGAGTGGAAACGAAAGGTTTTTGGGAATTGACAAGCTGTTGGAGTGTGAGAAGAGTAATGTTTTGTGAAACGATTCAGGGAAACCAGTTAGCCAGACTTGAGTCCTGGAGGTGGGAAGTAGTGCCTGCACTCTAAAGGAGGGGTTTGGGATATTTGCTGTTTAGAGTGACATCTAAAATGTCGTATCTGTGGTCCTCTGACAAGACAGTAATAGTGTAAATAATGGCAAAAGTGTTTCTCTTTTGGGTCACCCTGCCTCGTTGGAAGATGGCCAGCGTATTGAGGAAAGGCAGGGTATTATTTGCCTCCTCTGCTAGTGTAAGTTATATGGATGGTTCCACTTCATTAAGATGTTCTTGGAAGTGTGACAGGTTGAACCATCTGGTTATGATATAAACATAAATAATATACACATTACAGTAGGGCTGCCCCACTTATACGGCAGGTTAGGTTCCAGGCTACTGCCGTAAAGCGGAAATCGCCGTAAAGTGGAACACCTTTTTTTTTTTTTCCTTATAAATGCATACAAATACTAGATAACAAGTTTACACTAACATATATTAAGTTAGCAATGGAACTAGGCATCAAAAAACAACAAAAAAGTAAAATACACACATAGTGCACTCATTACTTACCTTAAAATATTTGTAGTCTTAGTCTAGGGTGAGACAAGTAGTATTTATTGTTAGAAATGAAGTGTGGTATGTATGGTAGTCAGCCGGGCTACCATACCAGGCCACCCCACCTGCACATAATATTCTCTTACATTTAAGCATCCCAGAGCGATAAAATGCATATACAGTTCACACATTGTTTACCTTAAAATATTTGTAGTCTTCTCCATGGGGAAGCGGAACAGAATTCTTCCTCCATAAGCCATGCGTGTCGTAAGAGGCGACTAAAATGCCAGGAGCAAGGGGCTAGTAACCCCTTCTCCTGTATGTATTACTAAATTTAAAAGGCGAAACTTTCGTTTTTCCTTTTGAGCCACCCCACCTCAGTGGGAAATGGCTGGTGCATTGAAAGAAAGAAAGATTTGTAGTCTTAATCTAGGGTGAGATGAGCAGTGTTTTTTGTAAGAAATCAAGTGCAGTATGTATGGTAGCCAGCCAGACCACCCCACCCACACATGCTATTCTATGATATTTAAGCACCCCAGAGTGATAAAATGCATATACAGTTCACTGATTACTTACCTTAAAATATTTGTAGTCTTAATGTAGGGTCAGAGGCGAGTAAACGAGATAAAACGAATAAATGAGAGAGAGAGAGAGAATGAGTACTTCAGAGAGGACAGGCGCAGAGTTATGTAAACAAACCAGGTGAACGTAAGTTTTGTAAACAAAGTGTACACGTCTGGTTTGTGTACAAGTTACATTGTGTACAAGTTGTCTCTACATTGATACGGTAGAATAAATAAAGAAGAACAATCCCATTTTCATGTAACGCCATTTTTAGAAGAAATGACGCTCTGAGTGAAGGCAATGGAAATAAGTCACTCTGTCTGACTTTTTTGGGTTATCCCAGGTTCTCTACACATATGCTGCTATGTTGATAATCTATGTAGCTGTATTTGTGTATACCTGAATAAACTTACATACATACGAAAGGAGTAAGTAACACATTTTCTCTGATGTTGGACTAGAGAAAATGTTATTCTTGCCATTACTTGTAAAAGTCTGGCTACCACATCTCATATTTATGTTTATTTATTCTATTGTGAGGTGTATTTATCATCTTTATATGTTATGTATCATGTTTATTACATAATTTTGAAAAAAATATCATGGATGGAGTAATGAAAATGTGTATATTAACGTAATATACGACATTTAATGAGACTCGATTATTATCATTTCTAATATGATGTCTCGAGACATAAGACACTCTTACTGATTTTAATGTGTACCTGCATGCCAGCACAGTATGTAAGTTTATTTAGGTACAGGTATACATAAGTATAATTATCAGAGTATATATAAAATATGAAATAACTTTTAAAAACACTTGAAATTTTGGAGTTTCCAGACATAATGGAGAGACTTAGTGCTTATGGATCTCACATAGAATGTAAACAAACTGAGTGGGGCGCGGTGACCGTATTAGAAAGTCAGGTGGGGGGAGCCATATAGAGAGTTTTGGTCATAATTTGAAATGACCGTATTAGTGGAACGCTGCAAAGCGGGGCCATACTGTATTTGTCTTATAAAAGGTTGTCTTATGGCTGTCATTATTTACAATAACTTGATAGATTTGATATAGCAATACAGGACTTCAGCTGTTGCAAACAGCAGTTTGACAAGATCTTTTTTCCTTTTGGTGCTTAATCTAATTTTCTCTCATTGCCATTTCTAGAGCTTTTTTATCAGTTGTTGTTAGCTAGATAGTCTTTGTAGTTTGAGTGCTCTTCCTTGTCATCTTATTTAAATATTGATACACTATTAATTACGCTATCCATCTGTCAGTTTAACCAAGTCTTTGTGTAGGGATTTAGTAAAAAAAAATATTTTACATATGCATTTTGCATCATCCATAGACATTTTTATGCAGGTATTTATTCTCTTGCCAAATCATTAGTATGAATTAGAAATATTATCAGTTCAAGTATTGAACTTTGGAACACTACATGAACATCTACCAGTCATGACATTTCTCTTATCAGTATTTTACATTTTCCTTTCAAACAGAAAGCCTCTTGTCCATTGTAATTACTTTTGGTTTCCCTGTGTAATTATGTGTGCTGTGTGGGCTATAAGATATATATATTGTAACTTTTCTGTTACAGTGCAGGCATTTGTGTTCCATTTACCTTACTTTACTACACTCTTGTCATGACTGTAATTAACAACTTGTTTTTCTTTCATGTTCATTCATATTGTAGTTCCTGCCAAACACTGATACATCTGTGGAGAGTCGGTGTGTTGTAGTTCCTGCACAACACTGACACTAATACAACTCTCCAGAGATGACAGTACTTGCACATCTCTGGAGAGTCACACCAGCAAATCCTATATTTCATTTCTTTTTCTTTCTTGTGTCTTCTTTACAAAATGCTTCAGGGCCAGTAGTGTACCTTAATCTTTATTATGGTAGCCGTCAAGATGTCTTTTACAAAGATCTAAAATTTCTACTAATGCACATTTTTGATGTGAAAATCATTTAATCCATGTTCTTGTTACATTGTTTACAAGTTTTTATTGTCCCTTCTAAAACAATCATTGGTGATAACGATGTACTGTATATTACTTTAGGCATATTTTAGTACATAACACGGAGCACAGTTCAAGTTTCTTCAAGTTTCTTCAAGTTCTTTTTAAAATGTTTTCCCTTCATACTTCCCCATGTGGCAGAAATATATAGGTTGCCATAGAAATCTTTAAATTTTTCACTCTAGCAATTTCATCAATGTAGAATGCTAGCTTTACTGTGTACTGAGCTGTGTTGTCTCATTAATGCGGCTCAGTTGAAGGAGTTTAAAGGGGTCCATTTCCCTGGCTCCAACAACCCTCGTTTCTGTCGCTTCGTATGGGAACGCAGTCGCCATTGCCTGAAGCCGGTGAGGAATGTTTTACCTTAACAAAAGTTGTTTATTCCCCGTGATTGTGTTTATTTTCTGTTTTGCATTGTATAATAGTGTATTATGGATTGTTACATATTCGTTTTTTATATAAATATACAGTACAGTATATAAAGCAAATGAGGAATTGTGAGAGAGAGTAGTAAAGTCAGCATCTGAATTTATGTTTTAGCAGCTTTGAAATAAAATGTATATAAAATATAAGCATTTTTTAACTCGTTGACTTTTTGCCCAAGACAAAGTGACATAGAGAAACAAAGATTCATTTCATTCATATATTCACCTCATCATAAATTCAGTTATGCAGTGAACTACAGCCTCCTCACACAGCCTTCAGAGTGCAAGCAGTGTACCTTCCATCTCCAACATTCTAAGTCAAGCTTACTAGTTTTTCTGAAATCTTTCCTAATGTTACCTTGCTTTCACTCTGACAAGACATCATATTCCAAAAACCACTAGTCTCTGCTCTCTAGACTTAATACATGAATAAATAAGAATGATGTTTAAGGCCGTTTCAGCATTTTGATGCCTCGTATGAGACAGGAAATGAACCCAAAATTTTTGATGAACTATGTTATCAAATTCACTAATAGTTATAGAACAAAGGTTAATATACTCAAGGAAAGTGTGGAATTAGGAAGAACATGGGCATCTATTAGGTCATACAGGTAAATAATTTTTGTATACAAGGTTACTAATTATATTTTGTTTTACCAACTTTTGATACATAATACAATACAATACAACTTTCTTTTCTGCAATACTCAAAATGTAGTTTGTGTAATAAAATATTGTTAAGCACAAAAATCTAGTAGCATGCAGTGCAGTATACCTGGTAGTATACTGACCAAGGCTACTGCTGCTTTGGTCACTTTGTGTGGCCTGTTTGGAGCACGAGCAACTACATGTGAAATAGATATAGATTTGAGCTTCATATATATTTTCTTGTGTAAAACATGAAGAAAAATAAGACCCATCTATATTATTTGATCAAATATGCTAAATAGATATAAGTAACAACTTAGTTTATACATTAAGATAGTGTCAAATCTCTGTTAAGATTGATAGATAAAAAGGACTTATACGAATTATTCTATACTCTAAACCTGGCAATGCTGAGTGACCTACATTTTTTTTTTTTTGTTTTTTTTTTGTTAATAATAATACCCTAAATCGGTGTGATTGTATTTTGTATAACATGTGATTTGCAGCAACAGAGGGAGGGGCCTGTCAGGAAGAAGGGGGTTAATTAAAAGTCCTTGTTCCAATATTTATTTTGTTGTGTTGGTGTAGTAGAGGAGTGAGGTTGTCACCCAGCATGATCTGGCTCAGGTTGTCACCCAGCATGATCTGGCTCAGGTTGTCACCCAGCATGATCTGGCTCAGGTTGTCACCCAGCATGATCTGGCTCAGGTTGTCACCCAGCATGATCTGGCTCAGGTTGTCACCCAGCATGATCTGGCTCAGGTTGTCACCCAGCATGATCTGGCTCAGGTTGTCACCCAGCATGACCTGGCTCAGGTTGTCACCCAGCATGCCCTGGCTCAGGTTGTCACCCAGCATGCCCTGGCTCAGGTTGTCACCCAGCATGCCCTGGCTCAGGTTGTCACCCAGCATGCCCTGGCTCAGGTTGTCACCCAGCATGCCCTGGCTCAGGTTGTCACCCAGCATGCCCTGGCTCAGGTTGTCACCCAGCATGCCCTGGCTCAGGTTGTCACCCAGCATGCCCTGGCTCAGGTTGTCACCCAGCATGCCCTGGCTCAGGTTGTCACCCAGCATGCCCTGGCTCCATCTAACATCATCTAATATATACAATTTACATATAGGAGTTAAAATAAGATAAATGTTAATGGAAGCAATTGAAGCTTGGTGGGAATTATGTGGTTGTATGGCAGCATTCATGATAGTCACAGAAATGAAGGCTCAGCTTCTAGGCTCTGTGAATTAGTTTTTATTTTTTGTCTGCTATACCAACAATATTGATGTTGAGAGTCATACCCTTACATACAGTGGACCCCCGCATAGCGAACTTAATCCGTGCAAGAGGGCTGGTCGTTATGCGAAATGTTCGCTATGCGAATTAATTTTCCCCATAAGAAATAATGGAAATAAAATTAATCCGTGCAAGACACCCAAAAGTATGAAAAAAAATTTTTTTTACCACAAAAAAATGTTAATTTTAGTACACACAAACTGAAAAAGGCATGCACAATTACATGACACTTACTTTTATTGAAGATCTGGTGATGATTGATGGGATGGGAGGAGGGGAGAGAGAGTGTTAGTGTTTAGAAGGGGAATCCCCTTCCATTAGGACTTGAGGTAGCAAGTCCTTTTCTGGGGTTACTTCCCTTCTTCTTTTAATGCCACTAGGACCAGCTTCAGAGTCACTGGACTTCTTTCGCCACAACATATCTGTCCATAGTGGCCTGTACCTCTCGTTCCTTTATGATTTGTCTAAAGTGGGTCACAACAGTGTCATTGTAACAGTCACCAGCACGGCTTGCAATAGCTGTGTGAGGGTGATTTTCATCAAAAAAGGTTTGCACTTCAAGCCATTTTGCACACATTTCCTTAATCTTTGAAGTAGGCAATTCCTTCAATTTTCTCTCCCTCCTTTTGAACCAGTTTCCCCAGGTCTGGCCTCTTGCTCTTGAAGTTGATCTATCAGCTCATCAGTGGTTAGTTCTTCATTGTCCTCCTCCACCAACTCTTCCACATCCTCCCCACTAACCTCCAACCCCAAGGACTTCCCCAATTCCACAATTGATTCCTCAACTGGTATACTACTCCTCTCAGGGTTAGCCTCAAACCTTCAAAATCCCTTTTGTCTACACATTCTGGCCACAGTTTCTTCCAAGCAGAGTTCAAGGTTCTCTTAGTCACTCCCTCCCAAGCCTTACCTATAAGGTTTACACAATTGAGGATATTAAAGTGATCCTTCCAAAACTCTTTTAGAGTCAATCGAGTGTCTGTGGTCACTTCAAAGCACTTTTGAAACAGAGCTTTTGTGTACAGTTTCTTGAAGTTGGAAATGACCTGCTGGTCCATGGGCTGCAGGAGAGGAGTGGTATTAGGAGGCAAAAACTTCACCTTAATGAAGCTCATGTCCCCATAAAGTCGCTCTGCCACGTCTGTAGGATGACCAGGGGCATTGTCTAACACCAGGAGGCACTTAAGGTCTAATTTCTTTTCAGTTAGGTAATCTTTCACATTGGGGGCAAATGCATGGTGTAACCAGTTATAGAAAAATTCCCTAGTGACCCATGCCTTACTGTTTGCCCTCCACAGCACACACAAATTATCCTTGAGGACATTCTTTTGCCTGAACGCTCTGGGAGTTTCAGAGTGATACACTAATAAAGGCTTCACTTTGCAATCACCACTAGCATTGGCACACATGAGAAGAGTAAGCCTGTCTTTCATAGGCTTATGTCCTGGGAGTGCCTTTTCCTCCTCAGTAATGTAGGTCCTGCTTGGCATTTTCTTCCAGAACAGGCCTGTTTCATCACAATTAAACACTTGTTCAGGTTCCAGTCCTTCAGTTTCTATGTACTCCTTGAATTCATGCACATATTTTTCAGCCGCTTTGTGGTCCGAACTGGCAGCCTCACCATGCCGTATCACACTATGGATGCCACTACTCTTCTTAAATCTCTCAAACCAACCTTTGCTGGCCTTAAATTCACTCACATCATCACTAGTTGCAGGCATTTTTTTAATTAAATCGTCATGCAACTTCCTAGCCTTTTCACATATGATCGCTTGAGAGACGCTATCTCCTGCTAGCTGTTTTTTTATTTATCCACACCAATAAGAGTCTCTCAACATCTTCCATCACTTGCGATCTTTGTTTTGAAAACACAGTTAAACCTTTGGCAAGAACAGCTTCCTTGATTGCCGTTTTCTTGCCCACAATAGAAGCGATGGTTGATTTTGGTTTCTTGTACAACCTGACCAGATAGGTGATACGTACTCCACTTTCATACTTATCAATGATCTCTTTCTTCATTTCAATGGGTATTCTTACCCTTTGAGGTGTAGGGTTGGCACTAGAAGCTTTCTTGGGGCCCATGGTCACTTATTTTCCACAAACAGCACCGAAAACACTGTAATAATACGAAATATTCCGAGTGTATGCTTGAATGTTACGGCGGAGGCTGGCTGGTAAACAATGGGACGGGCGGCACATGTGAGGCTGGCTGAGGGCGCACATTGGACGCGTCTCGGACGAAGGTCGCTGAGCGGGTTTTTGTCCACTATGCGGGGCAAAATTTTAGCGAACAAAGCGTTCGCTATGCGGATTGTTCGCTATGCAAGGCGTTCGCTATGCGGGGGTCCACTGTATTATATATACAGAGCCAGATTAAGGCATGGGCTTTAGGAACTGCAGCCCAGGGGTCTCCGTTGACTGGAAGACCTCCAGAGATGTTCTCGACTTACAATCTAGTGATGTTTTGGAGAAATTTGTTTCCAAGAAATTATGCAAATTAATTGTAGTTAGTCTTGTAGAAATAAATTTAATATTTAACTTTCTGTCCTTTTGAAAATATCACTGAGGGCCTCACAGTACCTGTAGCCCGGGGGCCTTACACTCTTAATCCAGCTCTGTATATACATGTACAGTAGTCCCCTCGTATCTGCGAGGGATACGTTTTAAGACCTACCGTGGATACCCGAAACCATGGATAGTAGCTAACCCTATATATAAAAGTTGTTTTTCATTTACATACGTACTTATAAAGTTCAATTGATAAATTACGCACATTAAGTGGAGAATTATCACTTTTTCACTGATGGAAAGCACTTTTCTGCTTCTCTTAAGTTTTGAAGAACTCCCACCATCACTACTATTATGCTTTGCTGCCATTGTTAAGCAAATCAGGCCACAGTAAGCTCTGGATAACTGAAACTGTGGAAACCAAAGAGATGGATGCAGTTTTGGTTTCCACAGTACAACATTTGTTGTGCTTTTTAAGCTGAGTTAATCAGATAAGCTGAACTGCTCTGAACATGTATATTTTTTTAAACTTTCTCTTGTGTATTACTTAATAGGTCTATTTTTGGGAGTTAATGTGGCATATAAATTTTTAATTTTTCATCAAAACTAAACAACTTGACATAACCTTGCCAAGATATCATAGGTCAAACTAAATTTAGTATAAATTTTATGATGTTTAGACTGATTTTTTGCAAAGTTATTACAACAATGAATTCACAATGAGATTAAGACACATGTGCAACATCTGGGTATCTTTATTGTAGACGTTTCGCCATCCAGTGGCTTTATCAATACAAATTCTAGGACATAACTTGAAGACAGTAGAACTATGTACAGAAGATGAGGTAATCAGTCCCTCAACCTAGGAGTAGGTGCGAAGAGCACCATAGTCGTGGAGATTCTGAAAAGAATCTCCACGACTATGGTGCTCTTCGCACCTGCTCCTAGGTTGAGGGACTGATTACCTCATCTTCTGTACATAGTTCTACTGTCTTCAAGTTATGTCCTAGAATTTGTATTGATAAAGCCACTGGATGGCGAAACGCCTACAATAAAGATACCCAGATGTTGCACATGTGTCTTAATCTCATCTTGTCGGTATTATATACCATTCGTACACACAATGAATTCACAACCTGCTTATCTGCCAAGAGCTGTTGCCTTATAAGCCAGCCTCACAAGGTCTGCCTAGAGAGTATGTCATACATATACTTTATGCACAGTATATCAAGTAATATGACTTGCAGGTGAGGTCATAATAAGTGACCTCACTGCCAGTACAGTACCATAAGGTTTCCTTCATCTGCTTCGTATGTTGAAATTCAGGAAGTCTAAAATTTCACTTCATTTGTAATGTATTTACAGTGTGGTAGTTTCAACAAGATTGAGTGTTTCCAATCTATATTTTGCTTAAAAATGTTCACATAATGGAAGATAGTCAGGCCTGCTTGTGCACACATGAATTACTTTTGATCAATAATTTGTGTGATAATGTGTCTACCAATTTGTGTAATATGAGTATTCACACATTAGATACTGATCTGATCAAACAAAAAAAACTGCTGATGTACAAAATTCTCTGTAAATGCTGCAAATACTCCACTGAACACAAGCAATTTATAAGATATTCGTGAGTAAGCTATCATTGCAACTATCTTGCAAGTCAGTATCTCTCAGGGTTAAAGAAAAGTTGACTATAAATGGCATTGAATGTAGGTTTGTGTAACCATTTGGAGTTTTGGGAGACGACCCATGACTGGTTTTGAGGATAGTTCAACCCCCATAGCCTGACATGAGGCCAGGTTTCTTTGTTGGCTACCTAGTCAACCAGGCTGTTGTTGCTAGTGGTTTGCAAACTTACATAGCCACCATAAACTGACTGGTATTAAGATATCATGTGCATGGAGTATTTGGACACACACACACACACACACACACACACACACACACACACACACACACACACACACACACACACACACACACACACACACCCCACACACACACACACACACACACACACACACACACACACACACACACACACACACAACACACACACACACACACCACACACACAACACACACACACACACACACACACACACACACACACACACACACACACATGTACGTGTGTGTGTGTGTGTGTGTGTATAATGGTCTCAGGCTTGAATTTGCTGCCCATGTTCACCTAGCAGTAAATTAGGTATCTGAGTATTAATCAAGTGTTGTGGGTTGCATCCTGGGATAAGGATCATGAAGATGGGACACCATAAGCATTACTCTGCTTCATTAATCTACAAAAGTAATCTAACACGGATGGCTTGGGAGTCTTGGTAAGTGTATACCTGACTTTGTCAGCTCACACACTGAGCTCTGTGATTTGATCCCTGGTACAGGTGGAGCAGGGACATCTGCTGTCCCTGATCACCAAGCAGTAAAATAAATATCTGGGTGTTAGTGGACTGGCATGGGTTGCATCGTGGGGAAAGAAATTGACCTAATTTACCTGAAATGCTCTGCATAATAAGGTACTCTATAACAGTATGTCGTTGTTGTCAGCTATGGTCTGTATACCTTGTACATACATGTAGCAATAAAGGTTATTATTATTATTACAATGAAAGGACACTAAGAACACACACTTTAGACATCTTTGTTAACTATGTGTTAGTCCTGGAACTTTGTTCATGATAAAGGATCACTTGGATCAAGCACGGTCCCAACACTGAAACGTATCAAATAAAAATATTCTAAGTTTATGTACTTGTGTCATTTCGTCAATATTATCACTGAAAATATACAGCAGACCCCTGGTTAACGATATTTTTTTATTCCAGAAGTATGTTCAAGTGCCAGTACTGACCGAATTTATTCCCATAAGGAATATTGTGAAGTAGATTAGTCCATTTCAGACCCCCAAACATACACGTACAAACGCACTTACATAAATACACTTACATAATTGGTTGCATTGGGAGGTGATCGTTAAGCGGGGGTCCACTGTACTTGTCTCCGTCAGTTGTCACTTATGCTAAAAAGATATGTTTTATGTAACATTATGGCATAAGTTTCAATAAGTTGTTGTTTTTCCATTTATGTTCTTTTAAGATATGGAGCTACTTAATTCATTAATAAAGATTATCATCCTGGACTTGATATTGGCTTTACTACAAATTGTTTTCCTCATCCTATGCAAAGTTTCATTAACTTTTGATAATATACTCGCATCATTTAATGAGTCTTGAGTTTTGGTCACTTAAATGAATTAATGTGGTGCAGCTGTGTGTATTTTGATTTCTGTGTAGTATGTCGTCACTTCTGTGGTAAAGAACGTTTCAGAATGACTTGGGTAGAGGCACTGTTTTCCTTTATTAAACTTTACTCACTTTATTTTTATTACTGTCCTTATAAATTTTACATTTTTTGCCCAGCTCCTATATTAGCTTTTACCAAAACCATGGAAGTTATGCATGAAGTGTAGTAGATAAGTACTGTGCTGTATGTACTATACATAATTATAATTATATTACAAGTATTTTAGTTCATGTAAATGGTGTATGAGGTTTATACCCAGAATACAATTTGTTCACAAAACTATCTGGTTACAGTAGAGTAGGTGATATGAAGGATATTGTAGCCTTGGTATATCTCTCTCTTGATAAACTTAATGCATCTGCATGTTTATCTGTAAGAATGCTAGTACAGTGGTACCCCGAGTTTTATACAGCTCCCAACTCGAACAGTTATGTAAGTGTATTATTGTAAGTGCTTTTGTAAGTGAATTTTTGGGGGTCTAAAACGGACAAATCTAATTTACATTATTCCTTATGGGAACAAATTCATTCGGTAACATCTCTCGAACAGCCTTCTGGAACGAATTATGTATAAAACTCAGGGTACCACTGTATAGGTGTTTCTCATTTTCATTTTCAAGAAATGAAATTAGTTTTATTTCCATGAGATTTCAGTATGCAGAGTAGTCATTGGAGGCTTCATTTCAATTGAGATTCTTGTTGTTTACATTTTCTAGTTGCTGTGTCATCGTATAGAAGGAACCCGCCGGATGACGTCTCATCCTGTCTTGCCGCTGTGTAAGTTATTCTTCTTTATTTTGTATTTTTGTTATCTACTTATGTTCTAACATTAAAACAAACTTTATTTTTATAAATTATAGTACACTATGTGTGTGACCCTTGTGGGTTTACTGCTTAGTTTTGATTGTAATAATAATATAGTACACTACACAATTGACTCAAGATTAATTGACATGTATAAACTATATTATGGAAAGCCAGAGCATTTTAAGCAGCCTTAATATTAACTTATACTTACTGGACATTTGTGCAATTTAGATTGGTTTATTAGAATGTTATGGTTTGCAAAATACTTTAGCACTTTTGTTTATGATTTGTGAAATTTTGAGATCTTGTGTAACAGTTCAGTATAATAGTTGTATTGTTGAATACTGAGGTAGAACATAGTTGGACAAAATAATATGAATAGTTTTTTTTATGTACCATTTTTTATTTTATCATGGAGTTGATCCTCCATTTGCAACTAAAACAGCACCAATTCATCGAGGAATTGATTCATATAGCATTTGAACAGTATCCAGGGAAATTTTGAGTCATTCCTCAAGCAAAACTTGCTCTAACTCTTCCAAAAACAATGGTGGAGGAAACTGGTTCCTGGCTTGCTGTTCCGAGTGACCCTACATATGCTCGGTAATATTTAGATCTGGTGATTGTGGGGCCAATCCAAATGTTCGACTTCACTTTCATGTTCATGACAATTTTGAACAGTTCTAGCAGGTTCCTTGATGCTGGTGAGGGGCTCTTGATCCAAGGATCTGGATTTATCATCTTCCTTCAATTGAACCTGAATACCTCCCAATGACCTCTGTTGTGGCTGAGAGGGTAACTTTTACATCTTCTGGGAGGAAGTTCTTAATTTTAGGGCCGTCTGTTTGCATGAAGTTGCTGTAAATGTTAAGTTGAGCATTGGATATACCAGAGTCTTGACACTTAAGTCTTGTATTGTGTTGTGTTGCAGCTCTCCATGAAGAGATAGTGCCCTGGGTTGAAGTTTATTCTCTGTATATAAATTGCATAGTGTGTTGTATATTGAGTAATTTGAGACTTTGGAATAATAATGCAGTATAATTTTCTCATGTCATCTATGTCTTCAGTTTTCACTTGTGCCTTTTACTTTGTGGACAAACTAATGGCTTTCATTTTAAGTAGTATACTGCACTTGCCTTTATTCTGTAATGTTTAGACATTTCATAGACTTTTCTAGTTTTGTTGAGTTGTTGCTATCATTGTTCAGTCATCTGCATATCTGATTGGCTCTTCTAGTTTTCCCCCAAGATGTACATTTTTATTAATTTATTTTAGGCCAAGATTACTTCTTGATCAGGTTTTCCTCGATGACATAATACTCTTACCAGTATAGTGTCAACTATTGCTGCTTTATATAATGCATTTATGCATTATTAACCAAAAATAAAGCCTTAAACTCCTACATTTTGCCCATTTTTAAATAAATTGTGTCTAAAGTTATTGTAATAAAAAATCAGTCTGTAGTTATTTGCATTATTTTTGTTTTCCAGGGAGATACCTTATCCATTTTGTTTTGTAAACCAACATACAGTGCCCTGCTAAGGCTGTATTTTTATTTGCTAAATTATGGTTTTGCTACTGCTTAATACACGAGGCATATTATCTTGTAGACCTGCTAGGGTGTCAGGATGGCTCTGTGGTTGTTAGAGAGTGGCACCATAGTGCAGTTGTAGCTCGACCTCGTCCGGGTGGCACGTTTGCTAAGGTGGCCAGAGTGCAGTTCAACCAGCAAGGTAACAAGTTTGGAGTCATTGATGGTGATGGAAACTTGTCTCTGTACCAGCTGGGACTGGCATCACAAGTCAACAAACCTTTCTATGTAAGTAATTTATATATTTTCAATTTTCCTCTGAAATACCATAAAAATGCATATAGCCAGGAACCTTTTTCATATTTGATAATCTCCTAATTGGTGAAATATTGTACATATACATGAAATATTTTTTTCTGTCTTTATACCACCATTGTTAGATTATTGTCATATATCCAGGTAATATCATATTGTAGAATAATTCTTGTGAATTTTGTATTGCAGTTGCATATAAATTAACCATACAATATTGTTTATTTTATTTTTGACATTCTGACTTAGTGTGATATAAAAAAATAGTAATGTAAACTTGTGTTTAGTCTTTACATACCCTCACTTTTGTTCCTTGAACCCTTTCACTCCTGTGCTGTGATACTACGCCATGAGCTCAGCTCACTCAGATAAGCTATGAGCAGTAAATTTAGGCCTAGATATGAGAGAATGGGTCTATGTGATAAATGTGCACCATTTAAAAAAATCCTGCAGCATGTAGTGCATAATGAGGAAAAAAGAAAACTGTGACCATGTTTTCTGTTTAAAACACCAACTTTACAGTCTGTTTGTATGGTTTTTCTGGTTGTATTCTCAGTTTCCTGGTCTCATTTTATAGAATGAAGATATATTACAGAAACAGAAATGATTTTGATTGGTTTCAGGGTTGAAAATAGCTTGAATTGAGTTCAAAGTAGCATGAGCGTGTTAGATAGGAGTGAATGGAGATTAATGGTATTTGGGACCTGACAAGCTGTTGGAGTGTGAGCAGGGTAATATTTAGTGAAGGGATTCAGGGAAACCGGTTATTTTTATATAGCTGGACTTGAGTCCTGGAAATGGGAAGTACAATGTCTGCACTTTAAAGGAGGGGTTTGGGATATTGGCAGTTTGGAGGGATATGTTGTGTATCTTTATACTTATATACTGTACTTCTAAGCTGTTGTGTTCTGAGCACCTCTACAAAAACAGTGATTATGTGTGAGTGAGGTGAAAGTGTTGAATGATGATGAAAGTATTTTCTTTTTTGGGATTTTCTTTCTTTTTTGGGTCCCCTGCCTCGGTGGGAGACGGCTGACTTGTTAAAAAAAAAAAAAAATTTCAAGAGCTAACAAATCATGTCACTTGTCCAATACACATCCAACTGGTAGGTTTAATATGCATTCAGAAATGCACTAATATCATTTGCATAAGAGAATCATCTATTTTTGTGTGAATAAAAAAACAAAATGGAATTCATGTGTAAAGCCTGGGAATGTAACTGATATACAGATGAAATGTTATTTTAGTGCCAGAATGTCTTCAATGTTTATTCTGGTCCCTATTTTGCAACTGGAATATTTTGAAATTTATGTGAAATTGACCAAATTACGTACCATTTTCTAATCACTTTATTGGGTAGTTGAAATAGTTGATTGGGTGATTTCTTGTGCTTAGTCAATAAACTGGAAGACATACTAGTGAAATAGCTAAGAATTTGCTTGACTGGAACAGTGTAGTAATTGGCCTAAAATAGGAATCAACGTGGGCAAAATCGCCAATGCATAAATATTGCTGATGCAGCAAAATTTGCAAAAGTGTAATTTCATCACTTTTCCATAAGATTTCATACTTTCTCCTTTATTACCTTCAGAAAAAGATTCTCTACCATTTCATAAGAAAAAATATAAATTTTTGTTGAAAATTCTTGGACATTATGAAAAAGTTTCAGATCTGGACAGTGAGAGAGTTAATGTTTAGTCTTCACATACCCCTCACTTTTATTCATTTAATGTTTAGTCTTCACTTTTTTTGTTCCTTTAATGGGAGGAGTTGGGATCTGAAACCCATAAGGGGACAGAAATTAGAAAAAAAAAAAAAAAGATTAGGAGTGTTTATTTCGACCTGTGCCAAAGACCCACTTCACACTGACTTAAGTGTTTGTGTCTCAACTTTTCACATTACTGTTGATAATTCCTTTCAGAGCTTATATGCACAACTTTCATAATGTTTTGAAAACAAGAATTTTATTTTTAATACATTGGTAGAGCTCTCATGGCTTATATTTTTCCATGCATGTACACTAATGTTCTTACCCTGCACATTAATATCTCTTGACACTAAGATTATTACTTGTTATTATTGGTCATTGTCAGACACACCAGTGCCACAACAAGCATGGAAGTGACTTTGTGTTTGTGGGGTCGTCAAGTCTCCTTGCTACAGCTGGACAGTCATCAGAACATCGTAATGTAGCTCTCTGGGATACATTACTGCCACAGAGGAAAGCTAATGTTGTATGTGAGTATTTGCTGAGCTATGTCTGTAATGTGCAACAAACTTTCTTCTCATTCAAGTGCATTGTTGCACTAAATCATACACTACTATTTCATAACAAATACCTGTATCATAAATTATAAACCAGCTTTTTAATGTATCTGTGTGCATGTGTTACAATAAATGCTGTAATTAAACTGAATTAGCAAGCTTGCATGAATATTGATAAATGGGTTGCATGCTATCCAGTTTTTTAATATGTATAGATCAGGGTAAAAGTCAATTTGTACTCGAGTCCCTGAAACCTGTCCCCTGTTTTGTTTGTAGATCATGGAGAAAAGTTGGTGGGAGTGAGATTAAGACAACTTTTCCATCCATCATGACTCACAAAATTGTAATAACACAGTTGCAAACAAACTGTGGTGTTTTAAGATTCACTCACCATGGGTTCAAACCTCACCTATTCTGTGGGGTTGTTTTCTATCCAGTCTGTGCTTCACCCAACCTCACTAATCTGCAGTCCGAATTCTTTAAACTGTGGGAGCCACATACTGGCTTGGTTGGTTTAAACTAATGTAACCTGCTTACCTTAAAAATTGTGGGCTAGAATTCTTCTTCCCCCCCTCCCCTCCCACAAGCCATGTGTGTCATAAAAGCTGATAAAAATGCTGGGAGCAACAGGCTAGTAACTCTTTCTGTATTCAGTTACTAGAAAGTTGAAGATGATGCTTTTGAAACTGGTGGGTGTGTGTGGGTGGGTGTGTGTGTGTGGGGGGAGGGGGGGGGGTGTTGGTGGGTGGGGGGGGTGAGGTACAGGTAAATGTGCAAAATAAACAATGTAGACATTCCTAGCACTAAAACATTTCCTCTGTTCATTAATTACATCCCCAAGCCATGTGCCATCCATTTTGAATTCAGAATCTCGCAAAAATAGAAGATTTACTCTTTCCCGGTTAATAAAATACAACCAGGAATGATTGTTCAAGGTTTATGACATCCCAATTATTGAATCAGGCCTATTAAATCCACAAAACAGACCGAGAGGTGTAGGGAGGGCCTTGCCTTTCCTCAGGAAAATTGCCAAACTTGAATATTTCAGCTACTTTGAACCATATCAAGCTGCTTCCAGTCCTGAAACTAAACAAAATGTCTTTATTTCAGTATTATGTCTTCCATTCTATCGAATGATGCTAAGAAACAGCCAAGAAAGCCATAAAAGCCATCCTAGAAAACACCTCAAAGTCACTGTTTTAAACCAAACACATGGTCAGAGTTTTGCTTTTCCGATCATGCACTGCATGGGATTGGATTTTTATGCTGTGCACACATGAAAGACCTAGGAGTAATTATGTTGGCTGACCTTTCTTTCAAAGAACACAAAGCAAATGTCGCAACAGCCAGGAAGATGACTGGGTAGATAATGGGAACTTGTTCAGTGTTAAGGGCCCCATTCAGGGCAGGAGGGATATCAGAGCTGGAACAGATACAGAGATCATTTATGGCCTGCATAGACCCAATAAAGCATTTACATTACTGGGAATTTGTACTCATTGGAGCAGATGAGAGAGAGATGCATGATATTATATACAGTACCTGGAAAGTACATATGTACTTATGGGTCTGGTCTCAAACCTGCCCACTGCCATAACAGCATACAGGAGTGCGAGATATGGAAGAAAGTGTAAAATAAACACAGTGAAAAGCAGGGGTGCTGTGGGCCCCATAAGCAAACATTATATCAACATGCGTGGACCCAGGCTCGCCATCTTACCAGACGATATCAGGAACACTGTTGGAACAAGTGTAGAAGTCTTCAAGAGGAAACTGGACAAGTATCTTTAGCAGGTGCCAGATCAACCAGGCTGTGATGGATATGTGTGCCAGCAGACCAATAGCAGCAACAGCCTGGTTAACCTAGCAAATGCCAGACAAGCCTGGCCCAAGGCCAGGCTCCATGAGTAGAAAAACTCTTGGAACTCATCAAAGGTATACAATCACCACAAAGACCCATTCTTTCATATTTAGGCCAAAATTTACCACTCACAACTTTTAAGTAAACTACTTGAGGGACCCTGGCTTCAATTATGTAATTCTATGTGATGGCTACTGAAAGGATTAAAAGATGTGGGGTCACCAAAGGTGTAATTAAGAGGGCTGGGGAGGGAATGTTAAGGTATTTTGGGCATGTAGAGATGATGAAGAGGGAGAGGATTATGAAGAGGTTGTATGAATCTGGGGTGGAAGGTGGGAGAGGTAAGGTAGTCCTAGGAAAGGTCGGAGGGAGGAGATCAAGGAGGTTTAGAGTTTCAGGGTTTTGAGCATTTAGGTTGTGTAGGCATGTTAGATAGGAGTGAATGGAAGAAAGTGGTTTTCAACAGATGCAATGTTGTGTTTGCAAGGTAACTTTTATGAAGAGATGCAGGGTAACTGGTTAGTGTGCTTGTTGAAAAACAGTGTAATGCTCCTGTAGTATTGTAGAATATGTCCTCTTTGATTTATTAAATATATTTTAAGGATTCACTTAATGCAGTATGCATTTCACCTGCTCCCCCCCTCTCCCCCCAAGAAACTGTCAAAACAAGAAAGAAAAAAAATGTTCCTCCTTTGATAGTATTTCTTTTCTTTGACAGCTTGGAATTGTCATGAAAGTGGTGCCTCAGCATTGCTGTTTGCCCCTCAGCACCAAGTGATTCTTTCAGCTGGCAAGAAAGGTACTGTCTGCATCTTTGATGTTAGACAGCGGACTCTGAGACACAAGTTTCAGGTATGATATTTTCTCATCAGAAATGTAAAACTACACTTAGGTATGTTTAGTACAGGCAAAACTTTAAACGTTAACAAGTTACACGTTGTCAGGAGTAAATACCCTTCAGTAAATCTACCATACCACAAAGATAGGTAGAATACTCTTGGGGCTGTGGTTGGATTCCACCCCACCTATGTTGCAAATGTAAGAATAGTGGAAAGGATGAACCTAACCTTCATTAAATTCTCAAGAATAGGCACTTTATTAAGATGTTTCACTTGGAGACTTATAAAGAAAATCTGTCTGCCTGTTGGAGCTAATTCTTGGTTGACAATTTGGTTAGCACAATATTTTCTCTTCCCTCTTCTTATTATTACTGAGCATAGTTTTTAAGAAACAAAACTTTAATCTCCATCTTTCACTTTTTCCCAGAATCAGTTATTAAACGTGTGTATAAAGAAACGGGTGACTTTTGCAGTGGCAGTAAAGTTGTAGATGAATGAAACGATCTATCAAGCAACATCATTAAGCTAATACCTTGATTTGTTTCAAGAAGAAAAACATTAGACAAAATATATCAGTGGGAATGGTTGGGTGTGAGAAGGATCAGACTTTCAGTGTTTTTCCATCTTATGGTTTTGTGAGTTTAAGTATATAACTGTACCAGTATTTATACTAAAGGCAAGAAGAAACATTTCACTTGTAGCATTTAGAGTTTTTAATATTCTGATAAGCTTGTGTTTATACGATAAATTTCTAGGCACATGACGCAGCCATTAAATGTATGGCTCTGGATCAGAGTGAAGAATTCTTCTGTACTGGATCTGCTGATGGAGACATCAAGGTAAGATATTACAGCCATTGAGCCTATATTAAAGCACAGACTGTTTATAACATTACCTGCAAACCTGTCATTCCTCATGTCTTTTATAAATACACTGAAACTATAATTGTCTAAAGAGTAATGCATTTGCTAGAAATATAAATAATTAGCATTTGGACAAAGAATATTTGCAAATTGTTGAGAGGAAAGTGTGAATTTAATTATGTTAGAGATTATAGTTATGAAGAAAACATTAATTTTTACACAACAGCAGTCTCCTGCCGAGGCAGGCGACTCCAAAGGAAAAAAAAAATTCACCAACATTCATTCGGTCACTGTCTTTCTAGACTTATGCTGATATTACAATTACCATACACCTCTGACTACAACATCCCTTGGAGGCAGGAAAGGACCTCCAAGACTCAAGTCCGGTTAACTGGTTTCTCAGAATCCTTTCATAAATTACATTGTTCACACTCCCACAGCATGTCCATTGAAAATCACTTATTTCCATTCACTTCCGTCTAACATGCTCTTACAAGTCTGCTAGATGCTCAAGCCCATGAAACTCAACGCTTCTTGTATCCCACCCTTCCAACCATTTCTGTGGTGACCCTTTTCCCTTCTATTTTCCACCCTGTTTATACATCCTCTTCATCAACCTATTCCTTGTCCATCTAAATGCCCAAACCATCTCAGTAACCCATCTTCAGCTCTGTGAATTATACTCTTGGTAACTTCACATTGCCTTTTAATTTCTATGCTTTAAATTCTTTGCATATTCATACCACACAAAGTAAAGCAAGTATTTGGATTTAAAAATGTTCATAAACTTTAATTGATAAGTGAATGTCAGTATCTGATTTGAGGAGTATTCTATACTGTGCATTTCAGGTGTGCATGTTAGTTTAGTTTCCTTTGCTTCCCTAATTACACCTTAGTGCCTTAAACACTAGTTAAGGAACTTTGCTTCCTTAATTACTACACCATAGTGCCTTAAACACTGCTATTGAATGAGTAATGGTGAGTGTGTTTCTTCCTTTAAGTTACCTTGCCTTGGTGGAAAGAGGTGAATATGATAAAGTACTGATTTTTGGTTTGTAGGTTTGGGGTCTTTCCATACACAATTTAATCTACAATTTGCCTGGAGAACATTCCCGTTCATCCCTCTTCAAGAATTTGAGTCAAGGTGTAACCCAACTGCAGCTGGATACTAACAACAGACTATTCTCATGTGGTGCTGATGGCTCCATTAAATTAAGGCAGTTACCAGAAAGAGATCTCAACTTCAGCCACATTTAAAGGACTTGCAACAAGGTGAGTTTTAGAATTTGCTGCTTGCTCTAAGGGTATAAAAAGGGCTCTTAGAACCTTACCATGTAAAACAGTTCATAGAACTCTTTCATATTACAAAGGCAGTAGTGCATTTGGGATATATGATTTTTATTCAAAATACTTTGTTTCAGGGAGGATAGTGGAAGTTTTCAGATGCAAGACAGTGTCTACATAATATACTTGGTAACTGCATGATGGACCAGTTCAAGGATTTCAAGTTTCAAACAATTACAGCACTGATTAGTGGGAAAGCATTCAACCAAGTGACTGGGAGGCAATTAATACTTGATTCAGGGAATGGGAGAGCAGCTCCAAGACCTTCGATCAAGAGACTTCGAACATCTAGGCACTTCCTACCTGTTCCCTTTGAAGGGTGCACACAAAAATTTTTAGTGTAGTTGCATTTCTTTATTGTAAGTAGTTATAAAAACTTTCAGAATATAAAATGTGAAGTACTATATATATATACACACACACACACACACACACACACATGCAGTATTCCAGTTTTAACTGTATGATAGTATGTTTTTCTTCCACGTATTTGTTAAAATGGTTGTTGCTAAATTATGAATAATAACAGTATGTACATAATATTTATTTATTGTAATACATGAGCATTAAGTTAGGAAATCTTGTAATGGTAGACGGTATGGAATTACTGACAAGTTATAATCGATACTAACACCCAGATAGCAATCGGAAACTTTAACACGACTACATGCACACTTAGGGGTAATAAGAAAATATTAGAGAAGCTTATTGGCCCATGGTGGGTACCTTTTGAGACACTTGCACATTCAGCAGTGCTGGTAATAGTGGTCAGTAGTTTTTGGCAGTATACCTGGTTGATTATTTATATCTAGAGGTTTTGTCTATTGGAAACTGCCTTGGTTCTCTGTGATGTCTTGATGAGAGCTGTTGCAGTGCCATTTCTTTTGCATTTTTCCATTCTTTTATTACAAATTTTGATTTGGAAAATCTTGTCAGATGGAGGAGTGAATTTCTATATTGGACATGCACATTGTTGTTTTTTTCCTTCTAAAGAGGTCACAGGTTTTAGAAAGGTTGCGACAACTATATTCTGCATGCTTCTTCAATCTCATATTAGAGTGAAGAACAAAAGCACAATGCCGTGACTGGAACAATACACAAATAACCTGCACATATTGAAAATTACACCATTTCAGTCCATCTTGGACTATTTACAAAATCACACTGTAACATTAATAGTTAAACAAAAGACAAAACTTGAGAAATGGAGACAATGAGGTTATACTTTTATAAAAAAAAAAAAAAAAAAAAAACTATCAAGTATAAAGTAATAGGATGCAAGAGAAACTATAAAAGAAAATCTGAGTCAGAAACATCTTTCTCTACTAGTTAAAAAATATGAAGTACATCCTTTAAATTCTTTTTAGTAATATCAAAGTTAAAACTACAAAAAAAGTAAAAAAAAAAAATAATTAACACCTAAAACAATTTAACCCTTAAACTGTCCAAATGTAGATCTACGTCCACGTGCGGGGGACTCGGAGCGTAGATCTACGTTTTTTTTTTTTATATGCTTTCAAATGGGGAAAATTAAGGTTGGAGCGCTACGCATGTGAACGTAGATCTACGTTTGGACAGTTTAAGGGTTAATAACCATTTTAAAAGAAATGAACTCTACACAAATAACCCGCACATAGAAGAGAGGAGCTTACGACGTTTCGGTCCGACTTGGACCATTTACAAAGTCACACTAACCAGAAGTGGAGCAGGACAGCTATATATAGGCAGGAAGAGGTGGTGGTAGTGGTAGTAGTAGTGGTAGTGGGGAACTAAGGAGGAGGAGCCAGTCAAATATAAAGAAAGGGGAGCACTGCAAGGGAGCTAGGTGCCCACAGAGGGAAAGCAAGTGCACAGGTCGGGGGAAGGGGAAGTGATGAAATAAATAATGAAGGAACAGAAATACACGACAGAAGAAAGACGAAAATAGGAAAGAGGAAAGGGGAAGAGGGAGAAGAAGAAAAAATGAGGAATCAGGTTAAGTCACGGGTGTCTTGAAGTTTGGAGCATTTTACAATGTAGTGGGAGAGGAAGGCATCTACAGAGACGAAGCCACGACTAAGATTCATACAAGGAAAGTTGTGTATTAGAGAGGATTCAACCCGATGGCAACTGTTAAAGTTGGAAGTAGGGAAGACAGTTTTAGCAGAAGACCAGTCAATAGGATGACTGTGATCTCTGACGTGACAGAAAAGAGCATTGTTAGTGTTGGCAAGCCTAACACTATTTTTGTGCTTCCTAAGTCTGTCAGAAAGAGATCGGCCAGTTTCTCCAAAGTATTGAAGAGGACAGGAGCAAGAAATAGAGTAGACACCAGGAAAATCTGTAGAGGGAGGAGAGGTATGAACGAGATTAGTGTGAAGAGTGTTAGTCTGGCGGAAAGTAAGCTTGATGTCTAAGGGACGGAGAGAATTGTTGAGATTAGAAAGACCGGAAATGTAGGGAAGGCAGAGGACAGAAGAGTTCCCGAGTTCCCAGGAGTAGAAAGTTTGGGAGAGAAGAAATTACGTTTAGCTCGTGAGAAGGCAGAGTCTATGAAATGGGAAGGGTAGCCAAGACGGGAAAACGAATTATGAAGAGTGGAAATTTCTGCTGGAAGGAACTGGGGATCACAGATGCGGAGGGCACGGAGAAAGAGGGAGATAAGAACACTTTTCTTGACAGGGGAAGCATGATAGGAAAAGTAGTGAATGTACATGCCACTGTGCATAGGTTTTCGATAAACGGAAAAGGAAAAACCTGTCACGTCAGAGATCACAGCCATCCTATAGACTGGTCTTCTGCTAAAACTGTCTTCCCTACTTCCAACTTTAACAGTTGCCATCGGGTTGAATCCTCTCTAATACACAACTTTCCTTGTATGAATCTTAGTCGTGGCTTCGTCTCTGTAGATGCCTTCCTCTCCCACTACATAGTAAAATGCTCCAAACTTCAAAACACCCGTGAATTAACCTGATTCCTCATTTTTTCTTCTTCTCCCTCTTCCCCTTTCCTTTTTTTGTCTTTCTTCTGTCGCGTATTTCTGTTCCTTCATTATTTATTTCATCACTTCCCCTTCCCCCCACCTGTGCACTTGCTCTCCCTCTGTGGGCACCTAGCTCCCTTGCAGTGCTCCCCTTTCTTTATATTTGACTGGCTCCTCCTCCTTAGTTCCCCACTACCACTACTACTACCACTACCACCACCACCTCTTCCTGCCTATATATAGCCGTCCTGCTCCACTTCTGGTTAGTGTGACTTTGTAAATGGTCCAAGTCGGACCGAAACGTCGTCATAAGCTCCTCTCTTCTATGTGCGGGTTATTTGTGTATCGTTCCAGTCACGGTATTGTGCCTTTTTTTGTTATAAATGAACTCCATTAGGTACACAATCTTCCTTTTCCAGATTAAATTATTATGTTCTGTACAATTATAATTTATTAGGAGTTGGAGTCGGTACATTTTTACAGACTCCAACTCCAGTAACCCAAGAATTGCTGAGACTCCCAAGCCCTGGTACAGGCAAAGTGTAGTCTTGATAAAGTTTCCAATTGCAATTTGTGTGTCAATGGGAAAGTCTTGACAATATTAATTCCAGATCTTATTTTGGCATTACATGGCTGTTGCAGTTAAGTACAATAATAATCTTGAGCCTGGAACATAGCTGGGCTCTGGGAGTAGAAAGACTCGGAACTCATCAAAGGTACCTCCAAGATGTACTTCGTATATAAATAACATACAGCAATCTCCAAATTGGCAGGGGAATATTACTAGAAGTCTCACATCCAGAAAACAAAAGTACAGTAATGCTAAATATTTGTATTTTTGAATTTTTCAGTTTTGTTCTAAGACATGACTACAGCTTCAAGACTCCTCCCTTTTCCACTGATGTTAATATTTTCATAAATGGTGTAGCTGAAATCAGTAAGGTTTTCCTAATATCCACTTTTCTTAGAATGTTGAAGGTATCTGATGTGGACAAGAAAACCAATGGAAATGTGACTGTATTTTTGGACCCCCACTGAGGTCCTCATCAGCAGACTGTACAGTGGAGGTAGGAAGACATGTATACAGTAGGGCCTCACTTATACGGCAGGTTAGGTTCCAGGCTACCGCCTTAAAACAGGACACCATTTTTTCCACTTATAAGTTTATATTAACATATATTAAGTTAGTAATAAAACTAGGCATTAAAAAATAAAATACACACACAGTACACTCATTATTTATCTTCAAATATTTGTAGTCTTAATGTAGGGTGAAAGGTGAGTAGTATTTATTGTTGAAAGTCAGGTGTGGTAGGTATGATAGCTCACCTGGGTATCACAACTACACATAATATACAACATTACAGTGCCCAAGTGATAAACTGCATTTACAGTACATCATACTACCTTACAATATTTGTAGTCTTCATGAAGGTTAAGAAGCGAGTATTTATTGTAGCTCACACCACGTATACAACTTTAAATTAAAGTGCCCCAGAGCAATTATTATTATCTTCTTTCAACAAACTATTATTATTACCATCAACATACTTTGTTCACAGAGTTTAATCATTTCTAACAACTACATTTAGATGCCAATGGAAACAAGTCACTGACTTTCTTTTGGGTTATCCTAAGTAATCAACACACATGCTGCTATGCATGATAATTTAGGTAACTATTTTTGTGTACCTGTACCTGAATAAATATACTAACACGGAGGCAGTCTGAACAAATGCACATTAATACCTGTCCACTTTTGGTTCAAACACGTACAGTGGCACGAGTTTGCAAAGAATTTACCCCACAGTACACACACAACTTTTCCTGTATGAATCTAAGTCCTGGCTTTGTCTCTGTAGATGCCTTCCTTTCCCATTACATTGTAAAATGCTGCAGACTTCAGAACACCTGTAACTTAACCCGATTCTTTTTTCTTCCCCTTTCTTCTTTCGGTTTTCTTTCTTCTGCCTTGGGTATTTTTCTTTATTATTATTATTCCCCCCCATCCCTTCATTTGTGCTCTTGCTCCTACCCTCTGTAGGCTCCTAGCTCCCTTGCAGTGCTCCTTTCTTAGTATTTGACTGACTCCACCACCACTACTACTATTACCTCTCATGTCTTGTCCTGTCCCTATCTGCTGGCCTATAAATACTCCCTCCTCCTCTCCTTTTCGTTAATGTGGCTTTCTAAATGGTCCAGGTCGGACCGAAACGTCGTCATAAGCTCCTTTCTTCTATGTGCGGTTCGTGTAGTGTGTTACCCTTTTTTCGTCATTTCACAGGATGTGCAAATTTTAGAAACTTGAATTTTGAGGGATTACAGTAAATGTAGTTTATTGCAATTTGGGGTGACCAAGAGTATAATTCAGAGTGAGGGGGGTTGTGGGGAGTGTTCAGGTGGTTTGGGTAGGTAGAGGATGGAAAGGGATAGGTTGACAGAGGGTATATAAATCTGGGGTTGAAGATAGGAGGGGAAGTGGTGGTACAAGAAGCTTTGAGTTTTCAGGACTTCAGCATTTGGAGAAGAGTGGTTTTTAATGGATGTGCTCTTGGAGACTGCCGTGTTGAAAAAAAAAAAAACATAGGGAAACTGGTTAACCCAGACATGAGTCCTGGAGGTGGGAAGGGCACTGAAGAAGAGGTAGGGATGTTGCAGTCAGAGATTAATCTAGAAAGACAGTGATTGATTGAATGTTGAAAATTTCCTTTTTTTTTTTTTGGGTCACCTTGCTGTGGCAGGAGGCAACTAGTGTTTAGAAAAAAGGGGGGAGAAACCAAGACATTCTGAAAAGTTAGCGATATAGATGACGTAAAATAGTAATATATAGCTTTGTTGTTCCTATAATATTCTAAAGAATTACCACATTGTAAATGTATGAGTTATATTTATGTAAATAAAGAAATGTTGCATATTGTATTGGTGTTTTTTTTTATATTATGCAACTTCACATTCCAAGTTGCTGCACATATTTAGATACTGTATGTTATCTGCTAATGATTATAGTGGTACAAGAAGTGAAGAACAAGGAAATTTGCAAATTTTTTTTTTTTTTTAGACTATGTACAGAGAAATAAGTTTACCTTACATTCCAGTTGTTGTTGCTTATTGACATGAAACCTCTTCAAGGAGGGGTCCCATGATGAGGTGAAATCTTTCCTCAGAGTGAATCTAAATACCCCTACCTCTCTCCTTATTTAGCCTCCATATTTGGGGATATTACTTCCTTGTGAATTTCAGATCCTAGGCAGAGAGAAAAGGGAGCATTATCCATCCCATTCCATTGAGGACCTCTATGGTGTGGTGCTGTTAGCTGTGAAAATTGAGACGCATGCTGGGCCATCCTCTGGGGCCCTGGTGAGTGGCTTTGCTGTGTACTTGGATGACAGTATTATTCCTGGATGCTGTCTTATGGTTCTGGGAGGTGATGGCCAAAGGGGTATGGCACAACTCCTGGCATTTCCTGTTGGCTGGGCCTGGTTTGGTTGACTCTGGAGATGCCATCCTGATGTACCAGGTAGGGTATGGGATGGTTTCCAATTATATAATCAAAAGAAGTGCTAAACCACAAGGGCCATACAGTGCTGGGATGGTTTCCAAGCAACATCAGCATCAGTACTACTGGTAGCATTGATGGTACTATTGGTTCTAGAGGGAAATATAGTCTTTTGCATCTCTTCTAAGCTGCCCCTCTCCCACCCTCATTTTTAATAAGAAAACAGTCTCAGTAATATTCACATTGTTTGCCTCTTACCCCTGTGGCACCTTACCTGACCCAGGCACACCCACAGACCTTCCTTTGAACCTAGTACTGCTTTTGGAGTATACGTTGTCCGATTCTGGTACCAGTGTTCCAGGTGGCCCATTTGATACCTCTGACATTTGCTTTACTTTAACCATGAATCTGGATTCTCTCATGACAGAGTCAATTTCTGGATCATTCACATGTCATGGAAGGATTGGCTCATAGCCATCGTCTAAACGACCTCAACCCATACTTGACAATCCCGACACTATTACTGACACCACGCCTCACTCCTATCCTAAGAAACATGCTACCTGGAAAGTAAGTTAATCCTTTATAAAATTCTTTTCACTTCAACCAACCACACCTACTGATTACCTGACCATGGCATTAGCAAAGCACTCATAATGCATTTTGGTCAAAATATATCCATTCACATGCCTTCCAAGCGGGATGTGCATTGTCACCGTGAAGAATGCTGAACAAGCTGACAACGTTGTGGCCCTACTGGGTTGATGTGGATGGCTATAGTTGTTGTACAGATGTAGAGGCAGAGTGGTCACTAGTTGATATCAGGTATGGTGAAAAATCAGGTATATAATCTCAAGTTTATGGTTAGAGATGCATAAAGTTTAAGCATGTCCCTGTGAATATAATAATAAACAACCTATTCCATCTGTCACAAAATCAAAATAAACATGAAATATCAAAATCCTTATTATTAACCATCTCTGTATCAATTTATACATGTACTGAAAATTTACAAATGGTCAGCCTTTATCTCAAACACTTGGGTTTGAAAATCAAAATCATTTTGAATTTCAAATATTTAATATGTCCTGCTGTGCATGACACTTAACCAAAGCAATGAAAGATAGCTTGTGCTACATTCTTATCTAACTGTTTTAAATAAAATAAATGAGATTAACATATGTCTATGTCCATGTAAAACCTGTTAAAAAGCAGGCTAATGACAGAGCACAAAGACATTTAAAAGATTAGGAAAATATAGACCAAGTTACAATGCCATACAAGGAAGAAATGGTTTTCAAATTCCTCTATGGTGAAGAGGCATGAGAATCTTGTGATATCCTGCCTCAGGAATGGCAGTACTGTACTCGAGAAGGAAAGATTGTTATAAAACTTGTACAATACCTTTTCCTGGCACAAAATTCTCTCAAATCTACATTACTAGTTCCCACAATACTGAATACTGCACATAACAGTGGCTACAAAACAGTTTATTAAACACCTACTTCATGTACATAGGTTATAAACAACTTTCTTTGAGAAAACTGTTAAAGGCAAACAAAGTGTTTGTGTACAACACCTGGCAATTATATGAACCTGTAGCAATAACTTGAGCTTAAGCAATAGCAATGATTACCTCTTTAACTTTTTATAATCAAGTAGTTGCACTAACATATGGAAACCTCCTTTAATAAACATCATTCAATCCTGGCAAGAATCCTCAATACAATGGGTTGCTTAATATAGTACTTTTACTGTATATGATTTTTTTTTTTTTTTTTTATAAATTTATATTCACTTCTTGGCTCTTAATACCACACTCCAAAAATATATAACTATGGTAAATATATATTAAAGAAGTAGAGCAAGACCTGGCTTTTAATGGGATAAGTTCTTATCTCTAATGACAATCCAGCAGGTTTACACTTAGCCATGGATCCCTACGATTAATTCGTTATTCCTCATATTTGTAAAAGTGTATAAAATTCTCGATTAAATTATGCACTCACTGATTTGTCACTTTACAATGAGTGATTTTTCTTTCCTAGTCATTATGTATTATTTAGTTTAAGGTTTTCAATAGACACGTCTACACATAAGAACTCAATGTACCGTACCCGAGCAAAAAAATGCAGTCTATATAATCAAAAGAAAAGTCAAAACTAGATAGGATTCTAATTATAAGTGTGGTTAATGACATAAGCCAAATCAATCTCTTGTCTGAGATTTATTTTCTTGTATAGTTAACATGACAACTTCGTAGCGAGCTGTTGTTGTCATCATTCCTGTGTTGTCAAAATGTGTTAAAAGACATAAGTCTACTCAGCACAATAGCTCACTTTATATTTCAATGCTGAAGATTTTTTTTTTTAAGTCACTCCAGTTAATCAGGGAGAACAGCTCAATAAATTTATGATATATTGAGACAGAAGTGTCTTCAAAACTTCTAACACTGAGGACAATATACAGTATAATTCTAAATTACTCAGGCACATTTTCTGGTTTAACTATACATAAAAATACAATAAAAATAAAACACCAAAGAATGATTTACAAAAATTCTTTCATTTGTATATACCAGGAGGCTGAGACACACAATAGTTATCCGACATGCATTTTTTAAATTTAATTTTGTTTGTAACTAAAAGTCAAGAAGTTGCTACTTTAACATTAAACATGTAATTTATCTTGATTCTCCATAGGTAATCATTTACTGTTTGAAAACAATGCAAGAAAACAGGTATGAATAAACACCAAAAGTTTGTAATATAACTGCAAAACAAGGAGACTACAATACAGATATATCTTAAATAACTAAATTTTACATATAAAAATAGAAAAATTTGTCAATATATCTCTTCTTTCTAGTTATCCTAATAAAATAACTTAGCATAAAAAAAATACACAGAGAAACTAATGAGGGTAAATAAACAGTTATGAGATCATTCTTCCACTTGTACTCAGTGATACATAAGAAAAAAAAACATTTGACTAGATAATTCTAGTTTGTAAAAGAGATGTGTTAGATATCTTTTCAGTGGATACTGTATAAAAAGACAGAGGAAGTAGTTTGTCATGACTGATCTGGTGGATATCAATTATTATTCAAGACAAAATTTAACCTTAGAATCTTTGCCACTTCAAACACAATAACATTGTATTCAATCACCTCCCTCAACCCACCTGAAAACCAGTTTTAAACATTAAAATATTCTTGAAAAAGGGAAGGGATAACCAGGCAGAGAAGTATAAGATAAAAAATAACATATAAGATAAAAATAATATATTAGAGAGGCATTGGTTACACCTGCTGCATTAGCCGACACACACAAATGAAGGTACTGGAATAGATGAGAAAATATTGGGAACAAAAGAAAAAAGTGAATATGAACATTATCAGAACCAAGGTTACAGGAGTCGACTCCTACATAACCTTATTTGTGCATAATGCTGACACCATAATGAGAATACACACTAAAGAGGATAAAAGAAGACTGAAAAAAATGGGTGGACTTCAGAAATGGCCAGAATATGACACGAGCAAAAGCAAAGTTATGGAGCTGGAAGATAGGAAAAGAAGGTTGAAAGCAGAGTACTACATGGGGATGGGGACGGGAACAGGGAGGGCAAGAAGTTCACAGAAACCATTAAAGAAAAAGACCTTGGATTTACTGTTACTTCAAATCTGTCTCCTTTGTCACTTGTAATTCTGATTATAACAAACAAAGGCTAAACTTTCAAACAGTAGTTAATAACTTCCAAATGTCATTAATTACTGTGTATATGTGTGTGTGTTTGCAGATATAAACATTCTCAGCGAAATAAAAATATGAAATGACTATCGAAGCCCTGTAAAAGGATTTTTATAAGATGAGCAAATGTACCAATAAACAGAATATAATGTAGATAATTGTAATCCAATAAAAATGGATGAAAACAGAAAATAAATCTTTACGAGGAATACTGAAGTGCGTGATCAAAATATTAAGAATATGATAGAGAAATACCTTGGGGTGATTATGGTTTTCATCGTGAAGTCACATTAATATAAGTGAAAGATACTTACATAATCCTGGCAAACTTCAAAATTACTTTTAAGAGCAGTATTGTGAAATGCTAAAACACATCATCACAGACTACGTAGCTGTAGTACGGTGTCACCACTTTTAAAAATAAAGATTAAACATAAAAAAGTTACAAGACCTACAACAAAAAATCTAGTCAAAGTTAAAAAAATGTGAAATACAATACGAGATGCTCCAGAAATGCCCCTTCGGAACACCAGAAGAAAAAGAAAATACTAAAACTAAACTAGGAATTAGCAGGGATGGTGGGTAGTGTATTTCCTGAACACCCATGGACCCTGTACTCCCAAGACTAGTGTGAAGCTGTGTTAAGACTAGTGTGAAGCTGTGTTAAGACTAGTGTGAAGCTGTGTTAAGACATCATCTTCCATCAATATGACCATAGCTCACCCACAAGATGTATTGTCTAGGTACAATTTCATAAAAAAAAAATAAAAAAATTCTATTAAATTTTTTTTTTTTAGCAAAATCCTTCATAAGCTTAGTCATTTACAGCACATCATGTGTTTCTGCCAAAACAATTACAGAAACTTGTGTGTTTAACATGAATCTGTGTTAATCTTGTGCAAATGACGAAAAGAGTATTTGCAAGATCAAAGGCAAACATACTAACATGCAGGACAGCTTCAGCAGTTGTCCAAACCATCCTTCCTTATGTGTGACTTGCAATATTTTTTTTTAGCATAAAAATGATAAATAGCAGTAATATAAAAGTGAGGGAACCACAGAATATACCACTGAAGTAGCTGTACGTCCTTAACAACTATCCCCATCAGTGAGCTGAAACTGGACAGTTATTTGAACACTGCTATCTTAAAAACATTCTATCATAGAATATTAAATTTCACAAACACTATATTAGGATATACCCCATGGCATGATATATAATCTAAACAAATGTGTGTGCACAATCTGATTTTGCACAAACATGTAATAAAAAAAAAATTAAAGCGTCCACAGAATGTCCTCAGACCTCCCAAACAAGTTGGCAGTATTCACACAGTTGATCTCAAGGTCACTCAAAAAAAAAAAAAAATCTACAGCACCACAAAAATATTCTAACATGGAATGGCAAATATCACAAAAACATTATGAACCCATACAATAAGAATCTTAACGAGGTTCCCTGCACAGCTAAATTTTATCCAATCTAAACGAGTTTGCCTGCAGAGCTAGACGTTATCTAAATATCTTAGTGAAGTGTGAACCATCCCTGCTCTTCCTGTCATGCATGTTCATTAAGATATATGGGAAAAAGAAAGATGTCTTTGTATTGTGCCTATGACAGCATAAACATCAGTTCATATTATTAAATAAGTTATGAAAGGGAAATCAGAAAGAATTAAAAGAAATTGCTAAGACTGGAAGCCTTAAAAATTTGTAAAAAAAATGTTAAAAAAGACAGGACATAAATATAGATCTCCATGTAGAGGTGTGTACATAAAGAGGTGTGGACAAAAATGTAAAAACACCTTCCTTACACACACTCCTTACTCCCGCCCCTCCTTCCTCTCACACACACACACTGAATATCTGCAGGGATAATGAATAATACACAATGTGTGAAGGGCAATAGACCCTGACAGAAATGAACTTCAACTCAGGCTGACCATACATTTACTTCATACGAGGTTGAACACTACCATGATATGCATTACACAGAGTACGTTGAATATTCTCCTTCACACATGCTGAGATTTATGCTCACCACCTGAGACCATCAGCTATAAAGCTTAACCAATAAATACATTACAAAGAGGCCCAGGCATAGCTTTGACATTAGCAAGTTGCTCACAAACACTGTTTACCACGCAGCGTGTACAGTTTATGCAGAGGCACATTTGTCTTGTGCTGGCTTACAATCAGCGCCGCTTTTCCACGTGATGCATTGTACAGCGTCTTCATGCGAAGCTGCCACTGGCCGAGGTGCCATCCAATGGGGCCTCCTGCTCGCCACCATCACCGCCACGGCCGTCTGCCAACTATGGAGGTCTTGCCGACTGGTTTTGGCGGTGAAGCTGTAAATGCCAAGACAGTGTTCAAGGCAAGATACTCATATTTAGTATGACCTGACTACACTGAACAATGGTTATGTATCATTTTACCTGTAACATGATGCTAGGATCTTTTAAACTTAATATAGTACATATATAGTAATGTATTCAGGGTGAACACTAAATGAGCTTCTACAATATTTGAACTTCAACCTCTACACCTGCTTTAGATTTATTTGGAGCCCTAGTTAATCAGAATTCTTCTCGATTACTAAAATAAATTTTAAATTTGGTAATTATCATCAAAATTCTAAACTTTTTGATTGCTGGAAGAACAAATATTCTAAATTTTGATTTTGAAAATCCATTCCTAAATCTTTCTTTCTAAATAAAAAGTGCCAGATTAGCTCAAACCTGGTTCAAGGTTCAAGGAAAGCACTAAACCCACAAGGATCATATTATTATTATTATTATAATAATAAAAAAGAAGTGCTAACCCACAAGGGCTATACAGCGCTGCAGGGTAGGGAAGGAAGTGAGGGTATTGGATGGCAGAAGGGAGGAGGGATGATCAGTAGGTTACGGAAAACAGCGGGACAGGGGATAGTACGGGGGTAGAGGGTAGCAAGAGATTGAAGTAGAAAGGGCTGAAGGTATCAGAATTTGTGAAGTAAGTCAGTTGTTGTCAAAAAGTCAATGAGAGAGTCCAGATGAAAGGTGGGTCCATCAGCGAGAAGAGAAGGTAAAGAGAGAGCAGCGGAGCGAAGACGACGACAGAGGTAAATTCTGCGTGCTCGTTGATAAAGTGGGCAGTCCAACAGAACGTGGCTGACGGATAATGGAGCTTGGCAATTCTCACAGAGAGGAGCAGGGCGCCTCTCCATGAGATATCCATGAGTAAGACGAGTATGGCCAATGCGAAGACGGGAGAGAGTAGTCTCCCAACCTCGACACTGGTGATAAGAAGATGGCCAGTAACCTATACTCAGTTTAATAGATTGAAGTTTGTTGCCGAGCATAGTAGACCAACGTTGTTGCCAACGGGTGGGAAGATATTGCAGCAAAATAGTCCGTAAATGGAATACCTCTATATGAAACTGGTAGGTCATGTACTGCTGACCACGCAGCAGTGTCTGCCTGTTCATTGCCCTGTACATCAACATGACCAGGGACCCAACAAAAAACAAAATCTTTATGCTTGGTAAAGATGCGGCGTAGCCAAAGTTGGATACGGAGGACTAAGGGATGAGGTGTATCAAATTTCTGTATAGCCTGTAAAGCACTAAGGGAGTCTGAGATAACCACAAATGATGACACAGGCATAGATGCAATACGGATAAGTGCTGCAAGAATGGCATACAAGTCAGCAGTAAAAATACTAGCCCAAGATAGTAAATGCCCTTGTACGACGCTGTCCGGAAGCACTGCTGCGAATCCTACGCCGTCAGAAGACTTAAAGCCATCTGTGTACACTGCAATGGCATGAGAATGAGAGTGAAAGTGGTCAAGAAAAAGAGAGCGGGAGGCCACCGTAGACAGTTGGGCTTTCGAGCAAGGGAGAGAGAAAGAACAGACTCGAACAGCTGGAACTTCCCAGGGGGGTAGGGAAAAGTGAGATGCTACATGAACATAGAAAGGTGGTAATTGAAGAGAAGACAAGAGCGAATGAAGGCGAAGAGAGAAGGGACGGAAGTAAACAGGGGCGGCGAATAAATAAAGAATGTCTACTAATATCAGTGACCATTCTATAAATGGAAGGAGTGCAGAGATCATGAGAGTGTACATAGTAGCGAAGGCAATGGATGGAACGTTCGCTTCTGCATAGAGGCTCTCGACAGGGAAAGAGCGAAAAGCACCAAGGCATTAAACGTAATCCATGGTGATGAATGGGGTTAAGGCTAGAGAGAGTAGCAGGAGATGCGCTGAATAGATCTGGTCACCATAATCAAGTTTTGATAAATGAGGGTGGAGTGTAGCGAAAGAGTGTTCGACGATCGCTCCCCCATGAAAGATGGCAAGGGTCTTAAGAAGGTTCAGCCCGGGTGTGACAAGTTGCCTTCAGAGAGGTAATGTGAGGTTTCCCGGATAACCTCGGTCAAAGAGGGGGCCCCAGAAACTTGACTGTATCACGTTCGGGATACGGGAGCCATAGAGGTACAAAGGATGATCGGAGTGACAGAGCATCTAGGTGAAAGTAATTTGGTGGGTTTTAGTGCTGGAAAATTTAAAACCCAGTGTGGTGGCCCATGGAAACACGGTCGACTGCATGCTGGAGGAAACTGTAATGAGGTGACAGTCAGCGCCCTCCCACAGGCAATAGCGAAGTCATCAACATAGAGTGATGACCAAATATTTGATGGAAGACTAGAGGCCAAATATTAATAGCAAGGAGAAAAAAGTGTTGTGCTCAGAACACACCCCCTGGGGGACCCCTTCAGCTTGGATAAAGCCCAGGGAGAGCACATTATTAACCGAACACGGAAATCCCTGTCAGTTAAAAAGTTCTTAAGGAAGGATGGTAGATTGCCTCAAAGGGCCTAAGGAGTGGGCTTGGGCTAAAATATTATCCCTCCAAGTTGTGTCATATGCCTTCTCAAGGTCAAAAATATGGCAATAACTGAGTGGTTATTTGCAAAGGCATTACGAACATACGTATCCAAACGTAGTAAGGGGTCTATGGTAGAACGTCCCTTACGAAGGCATATTGAGAGTGGAGAGACTGTTGTGTGTCGCTAAATACCACACTAAACGTCTATTTACTAGGGTTCCACCCTTTTTGCAAACTGCATTTGTAAGAGCAATGGGACGATAGGGGGAGGTTTCATGTCCCGTAGTGCCTGGTTTGCGGAAAGGGAGAACAATGGGGATTTCCACAGCTGTGGAAGAATTTTCCTTTGACCAAATAAGATGTAAGGCGTAATAGGACTGCAAGGGCTGACTGATGTAAATGTTTTTAGCATACAAATATGATTGTCGTCGGTCCCAGCTGCCGATGATCAGCAAGCTGAGAGTGTTGCCTCCAGTTCTTGAAGTGAAAAGAGGCACATTATACTGTTCTTCTCTGAGAGAAGAAAAGCCCAAAGGGTGCAAACTCTCTGGCAGACTTTGAGGAAAGAAAATGAGGGGCATAGATGGAGTCCCTGAGAAATAGGACCAGATGATTGCCAATTTCATTGGCAACATTAGTGGGTTTGCTATATCAACACCGGCAACCGCAGAACAGGAGCCGGGTCAGGAGAATATTTACCACTCAGTTTTCGTACTTTATTCCAGACTACACTCATAGAGGAAGCAGAGGTGATGGTGGAGACAAAATCTCGCCAGCAAGTGCGTTTAGCATCACGGATGACAGGGCGAGCGATCGCACGCTTCTGCTTAAAATCAAGAAGTCTCTCTGTGGTTCTACTGTACCGGTTTACCTGCCCACGCAGCGGTTTCAAACGTTATGCACAAGCACAAGCAGGAGCCACCAAGGCACGCATTTCTGAGAATGCCTGCCCGGGAAGTTTGGGGTATACAATTAGAAGCTGGGGTTTTTAAACGGAGGACGAGAAGAGGTGAAAAAGCTATCGATGGAGGACGAAAAAGGGAACCTCTCTAAAAACAGTTAGGTGTGAGTAAAGGTTCCAATTTGCCTGATAAAATTTGCCAGCGTGGGTTTGCGAAGAGGTGGTGAATATGAAGGGGAAGTAAGAATGATTGGGAAATGATCTCTGTCATGTAAGTCCGGGGAGAACAGACCAAGTGAAGTTAATGCGGTGGAGGAAGAGCAGATGAGAGATCGATGCAAGAGAGTGTGCGAGTCCGAGGATCAAAATGGGTGCGAGTACCTGTATTTAAAACATGGAGGGGGTGGGTGGCAAGGAAACCCTCTAACTGAATGCCACGGGAATCACAATGAGACTCCCCCAGGGAAATGGTGGGCATTAAAATCGCCAAGTAACAGAATCGGTGGCGGTAATGACGAAACAAGAAAGGCAATATCGGAATAGATAATGCCCGAGAAGGAGAGAGATATAAAGAACAGAGCGTATCCCACCTATGAAGTGGATACGGGCTGCTGTGTAATGCAGCGAAGTACGAACAAATAGCTGATGGTACGGAATATCAGTGCGTAGAAGAAGGGCACTTTCATTAAAGGTCCCATCAGGAAAAGGATCTGAAAAAACAATAAATTATAGCTGAGATGGGAGAGATAACAGCGAGTGAAATTTTTGGTTCTGTAAGAAAACACCAACAGGGGAAAAACTGGGAGAGTAAACATCTGAAGCTCACTCGATTACCCCCGAGGCCACTTATATTCCACTGTAAATTGGCCATGATTGGCAATGAGGAGATACCTGAAATCTGCAGGTAAGGGTTCCTACGGACTAGAGGGGTTAGAAAAGTCCACATGTGGAGGCAGGGGAAAACGTTCAAGCAGAGAAGGAATGGTGCGTGTGAAGAAAGAGGTTGCGCAGATGGAGCAGAGGAGAGAGAAGGAAAAGGAGGGTGGATCAGTGTCCATTGATGGTTTGGTCTCTGCAATATATTCAGAGATTGCTTCAAGTGTTTCAGAATTCAGAGACGTGTATGGGAGACAATATTGGGAATGGTAGGGGAAGGATGAGTAAAGATTGGAACTGTAACGGACTGTACCAAGGTAGGGGGGGGCGGAAGGGTGGAGGGAACTGGAGAAGCGTGGAGGGGGAAGAAGAGGCAGAAACCTGGGAGGTGGCAGAAGAGCAAGAAACTTGGGAGGGAACAGGGGGGGAGGTACAGTATGAAGAGGAGGGTGAACCCCTACACTTGTAAAAGAGCCAGTGGAGGGAAGAACCAGGTACCGAGGGCAGGGAAGGTAAAAATGAGGAGGTGGAAAATGGGTAGGAGGTGTTAACGGACCTTTTTTTGACTTTGAGAAGTAGAGGGACGATTAGGAGGAGGTGTCATACGAGATCTCGTCGCTACTGAGGCTTGTGAGGGAAGAAAACGAAGAAGCGGGGATCAGACCGAGGCGTTGAGTAGGGACGTTGAGCCTTGGACAGCAAAAGAATTAGATACAGGAGTGACTATGGGAGAGGTAACCACAGAGGTGGTTGCAGAAGATGGGGATCCCCGAAGTGGGGGACGTTTTGAAACACAGGAATAAGAAAAAACGAGGTAGTCTCCCTTGGAGGCGGAGATGAGAAACTGCCATGGCATAAGGAGACCTTCTGCCTCTTTGAGGTAACGGATTTCCCGCTCGTTTAAGTAGACTTGACAACGGCGGAGTACGAAGGGTGAGCCCCATGACAATTAAAGGGAAGAGGGAGGTCGATTGCAAGACATATTAGAATGGTCCTTGCACCACAGACAGGGCATTCGGCGATAGATCTGCAATATTTCGCTGGATGGCCAAATCGCCAGCAATTTCTACCTGTTGCAGTGTAGGGATCACCCTTTTGAACTTGTAACAATGTCCTGTACATTTAATGAGGATGGGAGTTCACGGCTGTCAAAAGTTAAACGAGCACATTGCTAGGGTATCGTCTCCGCCCGCGGGGGGAAGAACATAAGTGTCTACTTTGAGGATTGGGAGTTCTTGGAGTTTCCCGCTGTTCAAGAATGTCAGTGCCATGTCTGGAAATTTTGTTGAACTATGGTATGGGGGACAGAATGACGGTACCACTACAAGAATTGGGGAATGATGTTTTTCAATAGTGACAGGAACAGTATCGATATGGGAAAGACGAGAAAGCTCACGAGCCTGGGTAGCATTCTGTACGGTGATGATGCGCGTACGCTCTTAAGAGGTTGAAAAGAAAATCTTTTACCAAAAATGGCGTTTGGAGTGCCTTGCCAATACTGTGGTCAGAAGATAGGCAGTAGAGGAAGTCGGTCGTAAAGTGAAGAATTTAGTCCATTGTGCAGTCTGAAACTGAGCGTGGAAAGGTAATGAAGGACGTGTCGATCTTTTCTGAGAAGAATGAGAAGGTGGAGAAGTATCATCAGCAGGTAATTGTCGTTGGCGTTTAGGCGTGGGACCAGAGTTGGTCCGACGTGGAACAGGCTGGCGATTTGAAAATTGCCGCACCGTAGGGGGAGAGGCCGGAAGCATAGTCAGAGGAGAGCGAAGGTCAGTTAAATTGAAGGAGTCAGTCGAGGTCTCAGTACCTGAAGCGGGTGAGGAAACAGCACCGGCAAGAGGTACAGAGGCATGAGGAGTGTCCAAAGAGTGGTCCAAAGATGAGGTGGGGGCAGAAAGGGGTGCCCGGGATCAAGAAGGGGCCCGGGGGTACCAGGTTCATGGACTGGGGGTGCCATGGTTAGTTACTTCTTTCGTTTTATTTTTAAGAAAAAAAAGAAAGAAAAGAAAATAAAAATAAAAAAAAAAGAATAAAAAAAAGGGGGGACCGGGGAGGGATTAGTTCCTAGGAGGAATGAAAGGGCCAGAATCTCCCTCCGCGCCCAAGAGGACCCCCAGCACCGCAAGTGCGCAGATGCAGCATGGAACCCTGCCATACCCTACCCATCATGCCAGTAAACCCGGCAATCCGGGATAGCAACCTCACATCTGCCGAGCTACCTCGGTGGACAAAAGAGAGGGCGGCCGGAAATCCGCCACAAAGCATACCTCCTTCGGCCACCACCCCCGGAATCCGAAAGGTGGCTTCCAGAGATACACCCATCGCCCGAGAGACACCCAAAGCCACCCTCCGGGATACCGGAGAGGGATCGGGACATCCCCAGGCAATCCAGATTCCACGGCAAACTACGCCACCGCCAAGAACCTCAACGGAATGGAATGGACCCCAGTACCCTTTCCCCAACCTAGGAACTAGCGTGCCTGTGGGGAAGAAAAAAAAAAAAAAAATTCAAAAGGCCACAAAGGAAGGGCAAAAGGGAGGGGTGGGGAGGAGGAGGAGGAAAGGAAAAAGGGAAGGATGGGGAGGATGGGATAGGGAATGGGGGATTGGGGATTGGGGGGTAATTAGGTTCGGTCTGAGGAAGGAGACTGACAGGTCTAATTCCTCAGACCAAGAGCCTCTTCACCATGCCAAGGAGCCCCCCTTGAACAGGACAAGGATCATAAAATGCCTGGGAAATAAGAAGCAATCAGGCTTGATCTAAGGGGAGGACAGTTCCAATACCTTGGATTAAGAGCCCCTCACCAGCATCAAATCTCCTTGAGGGGATAAAGCAAGTTGGTTAGAACTTAGTCACAATATCTGCTGAATAAATACCTAGTGTCGAATTTGTGTTGTAATTTTAATAAATGCATTATACTCATGGCAAAGCACTAAACCCATGAGGATCATACAGCTCCTTGGGAATGAGATAGAATGAAAGTTCTTGAATTAAGAAATCCTTCAACAGCATGAAAGGGATGAAGGGATACACAAAGTTTTTTCTAAAGGGATACACAAAGTTTTTTCTAAAGGGATACACAAAGTTTTTTCTAAAGGGATACACAAAGTTTTTTCTAAAGGGATACACAAAGTTTTTTCTAAAGGGATACACAAAGTTTTTTCTAAAGTTGATGAAGTTCTATTTTAATTATTTATTATATAAAACACACTGTATGCTGTATTAATATACGTATTTTATTAGGGACTTTTATCTCTTCTTAAAAGTCTTTGGTTTTCCTTTCAATAAATGAACTGTGAAGGTACGTCCTATTTTAAGATGAGTCATTTCATACTTTTGGTCAAGGACTTTAAAACTGGCTGAAATTTAAATACTGTAATAGGATGGAAGAAGTGCCTTTAACAACAAACTCACACTTAATAAAAACACATCACAGATATGTAACACAGGTATTATAGTAATTAAATAAAAAATTATTTAATGTATCTCTTTATTACTCTTATTATCACTATTTTATTTTTATTATTTTCAATGCAAGCACTAAACCCATGTGATCACTTAGCACTACATAGCAAGAGTGAAGCAGATGGAAGAAAAACAAAGGTAAGGTGTCGAGAATGACTACTGCAGACAGTGAGCAAGTCGTGGCAGTGAAAGTGGAAAATAAAGGCTGCTTAATACTCTTCGATGAGCGGGTCAAGTCATCAGAAAGAAGTTGCACTGCCAGAACACCATAATAATTCTCGGTAATACCAAGATGGCCATACCTGGAGGGTATTCTGGGGGGTAAACACCCCTGCAGCCCGGTCCATTACCACTATTATACCATATTTTGTATTCAATGTCAAAAAAAAAAAGGCTCATACAGGACCCAAATGGCTAGAAAAAGAGTGAATCTGGCAAGTGAGAAGTCAAGAGGGTGGGCCAGGAGCCAGGACTTGACCCCTGCAACCACAGACAGGCGAGTACAGCACCTGAGGAATGGTAGGTAATTATACTGAATTCAAGAGACCCTCTTTGACTCAAACTTACAGTGAGCGAGTTCATCAAGGCTACGCTGACAGGAGATTCATCTGTAAAAACTTGAATTTGTGGTCACAGTGGGACCCATGCTAACCTCCCTATGGTGTATAAATATACCTAGCTGGATGAATCTTCTTGTAGCCAGGTGGTCCAGTGGCTTACACACTGGCCTGGAATTTCATGACTCGCTTGCCGTGAGTTTGAACCCCACCCATACCGTAGTTTGTTTGCAATTGTGTTATTACGATTTCATGAGTCAAACATGTTGCAACTGCATATAATTTTACCCTAAGAACTGAAGAAAGGAGGCAGATGTGTTAACTGTTTATCACAGATCTACAGACACGTGGGGAACTAGGCAAGATGTTGAGGGCCTTACTTTAGCGAGATATAATGTGTATCATGAGAATATCTTAGTATTTTGGTACCACACTGGCCATCTTCCTTGATTTGTGCCCCACAAAGGTGATTTTTTTTTTTTTCAACAAACCGGCCGTATCTCACCAAGGCAGGGTGGCCCAAAAAGAAAAACAAAAGTTTCTCTTTTTAAATTTAGTAATTTATACGGGAGAAGGAGTTACTAGTCCCTTGCTCCCGGCATTTTAGTGGCCTCTTACAACACGCATGGCTTACGGAGGAAGAATTCTGTTCCACTTCCCCATGGAGATAAGAGGAAATAAACAAGAACTAGAAAGAAAATAGAAAAAAACCCAGAAGGGTGTGTATATATATGCTTGTACATGTATGTGTAGTGTGACCTAAGTGTAAGTAGAAGTAGCAAGACATACCTGAAATCTTGCATGTTTATGAGACAGAAAACAAAGGTGATCATCTCTTAAAAAAAATGGGCATCATGACAAGAGGAACAAAATTTGTGGGAAGAGAACAATGACTTATGTTATGGTGGTTCACACTGTATCAGTGATATATACTTAAAGTCCTGGAGGTGGGAAGTACAATGCCTACACTTTAAAAGAGGGGTTTGGAATATCTGCTGTCTGGAGTGACATCTGAACTGTTGTATATGTGTGCCTCTGCAAAGACAGTGATTATGTGTGAATAATGGTGAGTGTTGAATGATGGTGAAAGAGTTTTTCTTTTTTGGGTCACCCTGCCTCAGTGGGAGACAGCCGGCATGTTGAGGAAAAAAAAAAATATTTAACACGCTAGCCATTTTTCACCGAGGCAGGGTGACCCTGAAAACACACACATTCACCGTCATTTATACTATCACTCTCTTGCCAGAGCCACACAGTTTAGATGTTCCTCTATGTATACAGTAGCACTCCCGTATCCAATGATCTGCTATCCGCGGTTTCAGTTATCCACAGTTTACTGTGGCCCAAAAATAACTCTTAATTTTGCATAATAATGGACCCAAAGTGCAAAAGTAAAGAAGCTAATAGTTCTTCAAAGCCTAAGAGGAGCCGTGAAGTGCTTTCCATCAGTGAAAAACTGATAATTCTCCACTTATTGTGCACAGTTTATCAATTAAACTTTATAACAGGTACATATAGGACTTATATATAGGGTTTGCTACTATCCGCAGTTTGGGTATCCACGGCAGGTCCTTGGAATGTATCCCTCATGGATACACGGATCCTACTGTATATATATATAGATATATAGCACATAATATGTTCTGATGAGGACTATCAAACAAATCAGGTATATTGCAAAACATACAGAAGCATATGTCTGAACACCTGAAACTTGACAAATAGATCAAGACAAGACATAATGCTTCATAAGCAGAGAATATTGGCTTCATTGTATAAAATTATACAAAACTGCAATGAACATGATACCACTGATAATATCTATGGTTAATATATTTTAAGTTTTGATGAAGACAGTAAATATAAATGTATGAAGCAGTGGAAAATAATAGAATTGCTCCTAGTGTCATTCACACTAAGTCCCCAGCATAAACAACAACCTCTAACATGATGAAATGGTTAACTTAATTGGTTCTTACTTTTGAGAGAAAGGTTAAACATATGATATATATGAACATTTTGCAAACATCTGAGTTTTTTCTGGCATGATCTTACTTCTTATTCACTATACATTGAAACATATCTGAGTGCTATGTGAGATTTTATTTGTCTGTGACTAAGTCACAGCATTACAAAATACATTGCTTGTACAAGTTTATTACTACAATTTTTAACTTTTTTCCACAGAAAAAATCCAGAGGTGGCAATGTTCTCACAGGTTAACATTTAAAAGGTGAAGTTAGCCATAAAAAGTTTGATATCACTCAAGACTAGTAAAAAAGCAATATTGTGTCTCAATGCAGTTACATAATATAGATAGGCTAAATTTTCCAATGAAAATAGCACCTCTACCTTTGTTAAGATGGCCTTGTCTGAGAAAGTTTATACTGTATTTAAAATGAAGGTGTGGGTCAGTCAGTCCCAACAGAGTGCAATACAGCTCTCTGACGACTCAATAATGAATGACAAGAAAACAGTTTATAAATCATAGCAGACTAAGTGTGTGGAGGGAGATAATTCCAAGGCTGCCTAGAATTTTCATAAATAAATAATATATACTCCTCCTGGTTTGCATGACCTAAACATTCACTTTTTTAAACTCCATAGCTGTCTCCTGCCAAGGCAGGGTGACCCCATTGAAGAAAATAATCTTATGCCTGGTAATTTTTAAAAGAAAATACATCACATTATACTGCCAATACACAAGCATTAAGTATTGTGTACAGTAATAAAATGTACCAAAAGAAAGATGTTGAAAAGTCATCAGAACTATGCTGAGTATAAAGAAAAGCTAAGGCAAAAAATGTTGTCCCTGAATCATACAAATTATGTGAATTGTGCCAGTGCTATTTATCATGCATCTGGTGCTAATTATATTGTCTCTCCTGTGGCAGCAAACATACTGGCAACAATACCAAGATTATTTGAATGTCAGGCAAAACTTGTCTTAGGACAAGTTGGCACCAGCCACAGAGCCAAGGTATCAGCAATTCATAGTGTATATTGTGTGTAGAAAGAGGTGATAGTTTCGCAGTGCAATGCATGCTGCGCACTCCCACACCATGATACAAGGCTAGTGTTTACCCTGCGTATTCCAAATTGCAGAGGTGTGAAGGCCAACGGAGGCGCATGTCCCATCTTCACAGCTGCATTATATTGGGGAGAAGACGATTTATCATTCAGAATTAACATAAGAAAACAAAAAGTAAAACACTGACAATAAATTTCAATAAAACTCTTAGGAAGTTCTTGAGGGGCATTATAAATGATCCAGATGCTGTTTATGACTATTTTCCTTCCCAAATGTCCGAAAATTTTCAAATTCATTTATTCCTAACAGTAGTATTGATGATGCTGGTGGTATGATATGTAATGAGTGTTATGATGATAAACTGGAAGAAACTGCATGAGAGTTGGAGATAATAAATTTTGAGATTTAAAAGTATTTTAATCCAGAACATGACTCAAGTGATCTGGAGACCAAGGTGGGGCAGATTTGTAAGTGTGCAAGTACAATATATGCAAGTGAAACAAAGGTTAAGAGTGAGAAACTGTACTTGGAGGAAATGAAAGACTAACACTTACTAACTCACATGGAATATTTTACACATACTAAAAAATATCTGAAATATGATTATGGATACACGCAGGTTGTAGCTTATACCAGTTTACGTTTATGCTGCTGGGTTTGGGAGATAATGCAAAGCCTTACCCACCCTATGGAAGAGGAGAAATAGAATAACAACAATAGAATAAACTTCTGTACGGGCAAGCCCCACTTATACAGCAGGTTAAAGTTCTGGGCTACTGCTATAAAATGACAATCGCTGTAATGTGAAACATAACCTTTTATTCACTCACAAATGCATATTATGTATGAGTGAAGTGAAAGTGTTGAATAATGATGAAAGCATTTTCTTTTGGGGGATTTTCTTTCTTTTTGGGTCACCTTGCCTCGGTGGGAGACAGCCGACTTGATGGAAAGAAAAAAAATCCATATAAAATCTGATAACATGTTTAGGCCTAAAAATGCATATTCAGTACACACATTACTTAACTTAAAATATTTTCTTCTATAGCTTACAGTGAGTGGTGAATATATTTATTGTAGGAGGTCTGAATATATGGAGAATGGGCAAAATTAAAAGCTGCTGCATTAGCGAAACGCCATAAAGCGAAGCACTGTAAAGTGGGGCCCGCCTGTACTATAAAGGAAAGCTCTTTCAAACTTATAATACTGTATGTAGTGTTATACATTATAATAATGTTAAGCTTTTCAGGGTCTAAACCTCTACTCTGAGAATTGCTCTCAGGGTCCATGAATTTAAAAGAAAAGAAAAAAAAACCTCATGAAACGATGAAGAATTTTTTGTGGAGGGAATGAAACCTAAAGTACAAAATTTGATGGAAAACTTACAGAATTACACTCTCGCAAAGTCAGTGGTCTCGGCGATATTTACGCATCAGCGATTTAACCCAATTTAAGTCCTATTTTAGGCTAATTTCATTGTTCTAGTCGACCAAACTCTTGCATTAATAAAAAAAATTTAGTTTCCCTGTGCTGCATAATTTTATACACTGTTTTATGTAGTACGTAGACTACGTAGTTAGTGCATTATTAATCTTCTTTCTTTCAACACACCGGCCGTATCCCACCGAGGCGGGGTGGCCCAAAAGGAAAAACTAAAGTTTCTCCTTTTACATTTAGTAATTTATACAGGGGAAGGGGTTACTAGCCCCTTGCTCCTCAGCTTTAGTCGCCCCTTACAACACGCAGGCTTATCGGAGAAGAATCTGTTTCCACTCCCATGGAGTAAGAGGAATAAACAAGAACAAGAACAGAAAAAAATAGGAAAACCAGAGGGTTGTGTGTATACATATGCTTGTACATGTATGTGTAGGACCAAAGTGCAAGTAGAATAGCAAGAACGTACCTGAAATCTTGCATTTTTAAGATAGACAAAAGACACAGAAATTTCCCACCATACATGTAAAACAATTACAGGCTTTGTTGTACACTCACTTGCAGGCGTAGTACTCCCTGGCGGTTGCGTTTTAAAACCCAAACTACCAAGGCTTATTATATATTCTTTCTTCTTTCAAACGCAACCGGCTGTATCCCACGAGGCGGGTGGCTCAAAAGAAAAAAGGAAAGTTTTCTCCTTTTAACTTTTAGTAATATATAAAGAGAAGGTTACTAGCCCCTTGCTCCCGGCATTTTGGGTCGCCTCTTAAACAACACCATGGCTTACGGAGGAAGAATTCTGTTCCACTTCCCATGGAATAAGAGATAAACAAGAACAGAATAAAAGAAAATAGCAGATAACCCGAGGGGTGTTGATATAATGCTTTACAGGGATTGGTATGTGACGAGTGAAAGGGTAGAATGCAAGACGTCCCTAAATCTTGCATGTTCATGAGACAGAAAAAGACACCAGAAAACCCACCATCATGAAAACAATTAAGGCTTTCTTGTACATCACTTGGCAGGATGTAGCACCTCCTGGGCGGTGCGGTTTACCAACCTACTACGAAGGTGCATTATTAATATACGTATTATTATATTGTCATTTGGGGTCTAGAACGAATTAATTCTATTTACATTATTCTTTATGGGAAAAATTGCTTTGGTTGTTGTTGATTTTGGTTATTGAATTGACATCTGGAACTAACTAAATTCAAAAACTGAAGTTTCAATGTAGGTGGCAATAACAAAAGTGAACACTTAAAAAAATTTAACTAGCAAAAATAAAAGGAATCATATTTAAAAATAATTTGAATCTTAAAAAATTTCAGGACTGATAAGAATAAAACGCTGGTAACTCTGAATTAAACAATCATTCTTTCATTCAATATTAAAAAAATAAGAAATAAAACCCATCTGGGTATCTTTACTTAGACATTTTGCTATCCAGTGGCTTTTTCAATACCTTCATGGACTCAACATGAAAACTGCACTGATAAAGCCAGTGGATGGTGAAACATCTACAAGTAAAGATACTCAGATGTTGGACAAGTGTCTTATTCTTCATCTTGTACATAGTGAGTACCAATGATATGCAATATTAAGAAAGCATAATAATCGAGTCATTATGGAGACATGGCATGAAGGTTGTAAACGAAAATCTCAATATTTACTAATTACCTTTTCGTGGGCTGTTAGTGTGTGTTGCACTTCTGGCAGTGCAGCTCATACTTCGAGTCACACTGGGCACATGACTGGATGTTCGGGAGCTTTGTCGCGATCCAGTTCGACTGGGCAATTGAGAGGCGCTGCTGCTGCGTGGGTGTGATGCACACCTGCTGCTGGGTATTAAGCCGTATCTTGTTTCTTGAGGGGATTTAACATGCAAGGATGACTTATTATAATGAGAAGGTACACTCTCAATGTGCAGTGAGGATCTTTCCATTTGAACTGGAAGTTTGCTCACTCTGGGGGAGTGTTTATGGTCTGCATGTACACCCGACATGTGGACAGTATGTGATGGTGACGGATGATGAGTGACTGATGGCTGAACCAACCGAGGTGTTCTGCCTCTCAGAGACCCAGTGCGAGTTTTGACATCCTGCTGTGGTTTCTGTCCAGTCGGAGAAGGTCTCTTTGCTGCTGGCAGCTTTGTTGCCATCGTTGATCGTGGGCGCTCCTCAACATTTCTGATATAAAACAGTAAGATCATTTTTAATCTCTAACTTTAGATAAATTCTAGTATCATAATCTTACCCATTAAAAATTCTGCTACACCTAGTAACAAAGTAACACCTCACCAAGTTAAACATATTCGCACAATATTTTGGCGTCACAAGAGAGCATAGGGAATATATCATCCATAATGGACATGGTTTACACTTACAGACACTCCCTATACAGTATAAGCAACAAGGATGAACACCCACCATCCTGTACTAACAGTCTGGAGACCCAGATTATTTCTACATCCAGGTTTTGGACATCACAAAACATTACCATAATGCATTATATTTAATACAAAACATCACTATAAAATACTCTAATAAAAGTCAGAAACCATCAGAAACCCTAAAGTTTCATTTAATGCTATAATTATTTTCTAGAAACTGCTAAAACAAGATAGTCACCTGCTCTTATACTTAGACGAGCTAGTATGTGTTGGTGAAGAACGATAGTTAGTAGAGCTCTGTTTTGCTTGCTCCATTTGCCACAGCTGTCGATCTCGACGAATGAGAGACATTTGTTCTTGAATCCCTAACACAAAAAACACTTTACGAATCCTTTCTCGAGCCATTCCCTCCTGAAAATTAACGTATTCATTTGCTAAATGAGACAATCCATTTAATTCTTCAAAACTTGTCTAACAAAATAGCATGAATTCAACCACTTCCAGAATAAAATACAAACTTTGCATAAGTGCTTAATTTTCAATTACTTTTTTTTTTCTAAACATTTATTCATGTTAATTTTTAAGAATAAACTGTAATTTAAACCTAAATAATCAATTTACTACTGTCCTTCCTCAAACTATAACTAAATCGAATTGCCAGCTGAGTTAAGGTTTCATTTCATTCTACTTATTTTATATGCATTTCTTTCTAAGAAACTACATGTAAGAGATTCATTAATAAACCAAAAATATTAACATTTCCTTACCATTCCTTTTTTTTTTTAACCATCGCCGATTCCACCAAGCAGGGTGCCCGAAAAGAAAAACTTTCATCATCATTCACCTCCACACTGTTTTTGCCAGGGGGTGCTTTACATTTTAAAACTGCAACATTAACACCCCTCCTCAGAGTGCAACCCTGTACTCCACTCCAGACTCAAGTCCAGCCTGCCGTTTTCCCTGAATCCCTTCATCAAATGTTACTTTGCCGCAGCCCAAGTATTAAAAAACCATCGCCTTTCCCATTAACTCCTAATCAAATACGCTCACACATGCTCGCGGGGAAGTCCAACCCTTGCACACCAAAACCCCCTTTTACCCCCTCCCCCAACCCCCCGGAGGCCATCCCTACCCCGCCTTCCCCCCTACAGATTTATACACTCCGAAGTCATTCTGTTTGGTTCCATTCTCTCTATACGTCCAAACCACCTCAACAACTCCTCCTCAGCCCTCTGGATAATAGTTTCCATAATCACATACCTTCTTCTAATTTCCAAACTGCGAATTCTCTGCATTACGTATATTCACACCACAAAATTGCCCACAGACAGACTCCCCAACTGCCTCCAGCCTCCCCTCGTGCAACATTCATCACTCATGCTTCACACCCATCCCTGTTGACAACTATACTCTCATAAAATCCCCTCTTTGCTTTCCATGACAAGTTCTTTGTCTCCACAGACTCTGAAGTGCACCACTCACCCTTTTCCCCTCATCAATTCTATGATTCACCTCATCCTTCATAGACCCATCTGCTGACACGTCCACTCCTAAATATCTAATACATTCACCCCCTCCATACTCTCTCCCTCCAATCTGATATCCAATCTTTCATTACCTAACCTTTTTGTTATCCTCATAACCTTACTCTTTCCTATATTCACTTTTAATTTTCTTCTTTTACATACCCTACCAAATTCATCCACCAACCTCTACAACTTCTCTTCAGAATCTCCCAAAAGCACAGTGTCATCAGCAAAGAGGGACTGTGACAACTCCCACTTTGTGTTTGATTCTTTATCTTTTAACTCCACGCCTCTTGCCAAGACCCTTGCATTCACTTCTCTTACAACCCCATCTATAAATATATTGAACAACCACGGTGACATCACACATCCTTGTCTAAGGCCTACTTTTACTGGGAAATAATCTCCCTCTCTACTACATACTCTAACCTGAGCCTCACTATCCTCGTAAAAACTCTCTACTGCTTTCAGTAACCTACCTCCTATACCATACACCTGCAACATCTGCCACACTGCCCCCTTATCCACCCTGTCACATGCCTTTTCCAAATCCATAAATTCTAAAAAGACCTCTTCACCCGTAGCTAAATACTGTTCTCCTATATGCTTCACTGTAAGGTCTACACACCCCCTACCTTTCCTAAAGCCTCCTTGTTCATCTGCTATCCTACTCTCCGTCTTGCTCTTAATTCTTTCAATAATAACTCTACCATACACTATCAGGTGTACTCAAACAGATTTTTTTTTTAACAAACCGGCCGCATCCCACCAAGGCAGGGTGGCCCTAAAAGAAAAACGAAAGTTTCTCTTTTTAAATTTAGTAATTTATACAGAAGAAGGGGTTACTAGCCCCTTGTTCCCGGCATTTTAGTTGCATAGAGTTTACCTGGAGAGAGTTCCGGGGGTCAATGCCCCCGCGGCCTGGTCTGTGACCAGGCCTCCTGGTGGATCAGAGCCTGATCAACCAGGCTGTTGCTGCTGGCTGCACGCAAACCAACGTACGAGCCACAGCCCGGCTGGTCAGGAACCGACTTTAGGTGCTTGTCCAGTGCCAGCTTGAAGACTGCCAGGGGTCTGTTGGTAATCCCCCTTATGTATGCTGGGAGGCAGTTGAACAGTCTCGGGCCCCTGACACTTATTGTATGGTCTCTTAACGTGCTAGTGAAAACCCCTGCTTTTCATTGGGGGGGTGGTGCATCGTCTGCCAAGTCCCTTTTTCTTTCGTAGTGAGTGATTTTCGTGTGCAAGTTCGGTGCTAGTCCCTCTAAAGGGTTTCCAGGTGTATATAATCATGTATCTCTCCCCGCCTGCGTTCCAGGGGAAAACAGTTTTTTGGAACCTCAGCGCTCCCAGTAATTGAGGTGTTTTTTTCTCCTTTAAAGGGCGGGGGGCCGTGAAGGTTCTCTGTCCTTTTTCGGGTCGAAATTTTCCCAACCTCCCTTGAAAGGTGCTTTTAAAGGTGCGGAATTTTCCCCAGCCTAGATAAAACCCCGTGACCTAAAGAGTGCCCATCAGGGTTTTTGGGCCCTTTCCCTAGTTTTGAAGGTTCTCATTACCCACCCTGCATTTTTTGCAGATGCGTTTGATAAAAATGTTATGGCCCTTAAAGGGTGAGATCCCCGAAAAATGATCACCCCCCGGTCTTTGACGGTGTTTCGCTCAAATTTTTGGGGCCAAAATTTTTTGTTTTGTACCCTGATGAAGTTTTTAATTTCCTCGTTTTTGGCCATATCTGATTAATTAAAATTTTTCCAAACGTTGAACTTTTTATTGTTTTCTCCCGCCCACTGAAAGATTGGGTTTGGTCCGCCGGACCTTGAAGTGTCTCCCAATTTGGAAGAAAAGTAAATTGCAGATTCGGGTGTCATCTCCCAAAGGAACAGGGTTTGCTGGGCTGACACCCTTTGTCTATGTGGAAATATGGGGGAAAGGGAACAAGAGGGGAGCAGAAATGTCCCTTTGGGGGAAACGGAGCTTTTTCCCCTTTTTAGCTCCTCAAAATTTTTACTCTTTTTGACGACTACTCTCTGTGTTCTGTTAGTGGGGAAAAATTATAGATCCTTAAAACCCGATTTTTCCCTGTTTTTTCCTTTGGGCACGATTTTGTGCGTTTATTACGCCATGGCACATTTTGTCGAAGGTTTTTTGCAAAGCCCTTTAAAATATTCCCCCATCTGCATTCTTTTTATCTTCTAGTGCATCTGGGGACCTTGTCGTAGTGACCCAAAATAGTTGAACAAAAGGGGAGCGCCCCCTTTTCAAAACCCATGTTCCCCTGGGGGGGTGTAACGGGAGGGGTTTTTTTGAGGGGTGTTTGATTTTGGTTTACTTGGGCCCCTTTCAAAGGGGATTTAGTGTTATCGGTCTGTATTTCCCTTTGCGGGTTGCTTTCTGCCCCCTTTGGGGAGTGGGGCAAATGTCGCTTTTTTTTTGTAACTGTGGGCCCCACCCCCGTGCCCCATGCCCCTCCCCTAGGAGGGAAAAAGGTCGTGATAGGGCTTTTTTGCAGTTCTTGATGAACACGGAGTTCCATGAGCCCGGGCCCCCTGGGGCAGAGTGCTGGGCATGTCTTTTATGGGGCCCTGTTGAAGCCCTTTTTGGCGTCGGGTTAACATCGGAAAAGGTTTGGTTAATAAAATTTTTTGTGGCTCTTTTCCATAAAAAAACCTTTTGATCTTCGACTCTCAGCCCGGGGTTAGCAGTTTTTGCAAAAAAACTGAGTCAAAATTGGGATTTGATAGCCATCTTTTTCCTTGCTGTCATCTGTGTGGGAACCCATCTTTTTTAAGTGGGGGGCCCCAATACTGGACGTTTTTTCTCAAACTTTGTTTTGGCATAGGAGAAGAAATATTTTGGGGTTTCTTTCTATTTCTTTATGGTTTTAGTACGGAGGAAAAATTTTCCGTTCCATTTCCCCCCCATGGAGAAAAACGGGAAGTAAAAAAAGAAAAGAACTAAAAGAAAAAAAGAAAAAAACCCAGGGGGGTTTTTCCAAAACAAAATTTTTTTTTTTCCCAACAAACCGGCCATCCCCCAAACCAAAAGCGGGGGGCCCCAAAAAGAAAAACAAAAGTTTCTTTTTTTAAATTTATTTTTTTTAAAAAACGAAGGGGTTACTAAGCCCCTTGCTCCTGGCATTTTTTCGCCCTTACAACACGCTTAGTTTTCGGGGGGAAGTTTTTTCTGTTCCATTTCCTCAGGGAGATAAGGGGAAAATAAAAAGAAAAAGAACTAATAAAAAAATGAAAAAAACCCCCCAAAGGGGGGTGGGTATATAAATTTTGTACTTGTATGGTAGTGTGACCTAATTTGTAAGAAAAGTAGCAAGATAACCTAAAACCCCTTTGCATGTTTATGAGAAAAGAAAAAAGGAAAACCCGCAATCCAAACCATCATGAAAAAACAATTACAGGCTTTTGTTTTTACTTCACTTGGCGGAAAAGTAGTACCCCCTTTGGGGGGTTGTGTCTACAAAAACCCACTACCTAGACTCAAAAGACAAAATTTCCCTTTTAATTTTTGCACCTTCCCCTTTTATCCCCTTTGCCTTTATCCCAAAAGGAAATATACATGCTCTCTGCCAATCCCCAGGTACCCTTTCCCTCTTCCATAAAATTTATTAAATAACAAACACCAAAACCCCTCCAAAACTTACTTCCACCCGCTTTTAAATTTCTAATTTTTTTCCCATCAATCCCAGCTGCCTTACCCCCCCTTTTATTTTACCCACTGCCCTTTACGAAATTTCCCCCACTCACAACCCGGGTCTTCCTCACTCCCACAAGATGTTATTCCTCCTTGCCCTATACACTAAAAAACCCCCTTCCCCATTTTTATAACATTTAATAATTCCTCAAAAATTTCACTCCCTTTTTCCCGATACCTCTAAAAATCTTTTCCCTTTAATAACTCTCCTCTCCTATTTTTTGCTGTCCATTTGTTCCC